CAAAAGCTTTTGATAGGGTCAACCATGCATGTTTTATCAAGAAGCTTGGGCCATTGGGTATAAAACCCCCTTTGATTGATTGGCTCTCTCCATATTTAGAAAACCGACACCTTAAGGTCAGGGTTAACTCCACTCTCTCTCAGGCTATGGAATGTCCTAGTGGGTACCCCAGGGTTCAATACTAGGACCTCTTCTCTTCTTGATTTATATTTACGATCTTCCTCAACAAGTTTCATATGACTTATTGCTTTTTGCTGATGATGTGAAACTTTGGAGAGAGATACGTAATCATAATGATATACTAGTTCTTCAGGAGGATCTGACCCGACTTCAAAGTTGGGCAGACGACAACAGACTTACCTTCAACACTTCAAAGTGCAAGGTAGTCCATCTGAGACATATTGCAGACTATAGTTATAACTTAGGTAACTCACCTCTAGAAGTTTCCCAAGTTGAAAAAGATTTAGGAGTGTTGGTACCCTATGACCTGAAATCGTATGCGAACTGTGACAAAAACGCCTCTCAAGCAAACATTGCACTGGTAACATTGAAGCGCATTTTTGGCCAGTTTGACGGTAGAACCTTCCACATAATCTTCAACAGTTTTATTCGTCCCCATTTAGAGTACGGAAACATAGTATTTCCTCCCTCCCTCCAAAAGGATAAGGACACTCTGGAACGTATACAACGTCGAGCCACGAAATCAGTTCGGGGTCTCAAATTCAAACCTTATGAAGAGCGCCTCAAATCACCTAACCTTTACCCGTTAGAGTACAGGCGTCTTAGAGGTGATCTTCTTATGACTTATAGTATCCTTAATACTTCTGGTCATCCCCTTAAACATCTTCTTAAGTTTAGTCATAACACCAACCTAAGAGGTAACACCCAGAAATTGGAGACCCTACATAGCAGAACAGATTGCAGACACAACTTCTACTCCGTTAGAGTTGTCAAGTGCTGGAATTCGCTGCCGACTGAGATAGTCCAAGCGACCTCCAAGGAGTCCTTTAAGAGGAAGCTAGGTATCCGCAATGCAGTGAAAGCTGACATTGGATACACGGCATCTCAACTCGTTTACGGAACGACACTCCGACTCCCAGGAGAATTCGTGGATCCTTCAGCTTCTTCATTGAACATGGATCTAAACTCTTACACGAGTAGGCTTACAAACGCTATGCGTTCAGTTAAACCTGCTCACACTCGACCTCAATCAACTGATGTTTTCGTTCAACCCGAACTACGACATAGTACACACGTCTTCGTTCGTCGAGACTCACATCGACGACCCCTCGAATCAGCATACGAAGGACCCTTCAAAGTTCTTCAACGCGAACCTAAGTACTATGTAGTCGATAAGAATGGTGCGAAAGATAGCGTCAGTATCGATCGACTCAAAGCTGCGTACGTAGAAGGAAACCCTAGCTACGTCGATTTTCCTTCGGTACAAGCAAACGACACAGCTACTACACTCGTAGTACCCTACACGACAACCGACACACAACTTGATACTTCGTCAACATCGATAGAAAAACCTAAAACAACGCGTTCTGGAAGACGAGTAAGATTTCCAGAACATCTTAACGAATATTGCACGTAGGACATAAGCTTTATCTGGAAATACCCTTTCAAAGTTTATTATAAATTTTTTTTTAATATGCTCATTTTTTATTTATGTAAAAAAAACAAAAAAAACATTTTTTTTGAACGTATATATATATATATTTATATATTAAAAAAAAACCCAAAAGAAAACCTTTTTTCCGATCGCTTTTACGCTGTTTGTAAGTGTATCAGTTTATTTTTTTCCGCTCATCTTGTGTCCTTACGCAAGTACGAGTGTATTTTTGACATGCACTCACACGTTTTATTTTTCCTCTTTTCCAGGACGGCTGGAAAAGAACGACGAAGTTTCGCAAGGAACAGAAATTTTCATTGTACTATATTTCTTTATTTGCTACGTTGTACATTTTGGTCCCATAGTTTAAGGAAAGACGACCAGACGCTGCTAAACGAAGCAAGCTATCAGAAGAGTGTTTACCAACGACAAATTCGTTGGGTTTAAACTTCTGGCTGGTCACGTCTTAGGGGCATCACTACCTCACTAGGGGGGGAGTGATCTGTAGCTGTAAATAATTCCCCAAAATCAATAGCTCATTAAGTGTTCGACATTGGATGCTGACCACGTTGTTTAAGTGGACTTGTTTAGCTGAAGGCTTTCGGTCATGCATCCGCACCAGATCACGTTTCAATACTGCGTGGGACACAGCTCCTACGTTTCATTAGCCAGCTCATAGAAAAGGTCCTCGATATATTGGTAACGAATCAAATATATCTTTCCTGCCTCTTCTCGTTTGACTTCTGATTTTCTATCTGACTGGTAACAACCGAATTTAGAAGGTGCTACTGGTATCTAGTTGTAAAACTAGAATATCCGTTGCATCATCAATATTATTATGATTTACCAAATTCTTTTTTTCCTCTATTATCGTTCATATACCTAGGTTCTTACTTGGAGGTATTGGTGATCCACTGCTACCAGACACGGAAGCCCGTTAAGCGAAAGCTTCTTCTATTCCGTCCTCAACCATTTGAACCATTTGAACTTATTTCTCATTGAGAGCCTCAAATGTGAACTTGACAAACACTCACGGATGACCGTCTACCTTTTAGACTGGCTATGGCTGATGGATGTTTCACAATTTACTACTTTTTTCATCACAACATATCAGTAACTACTTCTCACCTCACTCCGTTTCCACTCTTATCTATCCAGTTCGGTAATATCACATTGGATATTGGTCTAACCCCTCTAATTTTAAACTCGTGTTCCGGGGTGCGTTCTTAATGTTAGTAATTGCAAAGTATTGTTGTGTAGCTGAACATTATTGTTTTTGCACTACAAGTTATGGATTGTATATAGAGAGATTCTTCCACCTTGGTTCTTTTTTAAATAACTAACGAAAATGGCTAGTGGCCTGTAAGACCATACCCATATGGGGATGTATTTACATATGTATACGCATTGATTATGTTCTTAGTTGTCACTAGTGCAACCCGAAATGTGAGTAAAGATGCTTGTAGTTGGTCAAAAATTTTGAAGTTTAACTCATTTGAAGGTATATTCGTCGTTGCTGTGCCTGAGTTCATGTTTTCATAAAGACGTCTTGTCTAATTTCCTCATCGATGAGGAGATTAGACAAGATAAGAGCAAATAATTAGTAAACAATAAAGAAAGAACAAATATATGCGGCTAGTCAATCTCTGGCGTCTTTTCTCACGTTCATTTTCTGGTTCGTTCAATTCACCTATTATGGATTAATTTTTTTTTCTTGTAGACATCCTCACTAGATTCGTTTTATAAGCATTTATTACGCTTTTTTCTGCTAACTAAATATTACAGAGCAGATGCTTTCGTACAAGAATAAATCATATTGACAAACAGCAATACCCAATAGAATTGTCTGTGAGACTATGATTTATGGACGACCTTTGGGCGACGCTAGACTAATCTTAAGTGTCCACCTGATAGCCAGGACCGAATGAGGGTTATAAACCTATATGAGGAACTAGATTTATGATTTAAAGTTGGTGATTACGTTTATAAATTAGATTTGGTGGTTTCCGTCACGAACTGACATAAGTTATAATACCAAAATCCTAATTAGCCAAGTTGATGAGTGAATTTTGCGTCAAAATCCTACACTTGTTGTCTTATACGTGATTGGTTCGTCCATAAATTATAGTCTTGCCGTAATAAGTTAATTATGTATGGACTTGTTTGGTCTTGAGCATATGTGTTAAAATTATCAGTTTGATAAATATGTTAAGGAAAATATTCCTGTAAATTCCATTTTGAATCCCTCAAATAGCTGAATATATATGTACATCTAGCATAATCTTCATTGAATCAAAAAAGGAGTTGGAAATCAGGAGGTAAATAAAGTCACGATTTGATTGTTATTTAACTAAATTAGTTCGCATAAGTGGACGTTATTATTGATAACAGGCTTCGTACTTGTGTCAATGCTTACTGTTTTATCATCTCAATTGTGGAAGTAAGACGTTACTGATCTCATTGCACATCAAAATCAGCCTCTTTCATAGATGACTCGATTATATGAAATAAAAATTAATGATAGATTTGCGATCAGTGAAAGCTAAACTTATTCTGAGTACGATTAAAAAAATCAGACTCCAATATATCCAGGTCAATGTTAATTCAGTCTAGTGTAGCATTTTGAAATATTCGTATATATTGCTTGATAGATAATCAGTTTCGTTTATATTTAAGAATTAGCTTTGACTTTCTCATGAGTTCAATAGTCTTAAGCCAATTAATGGCGTGAGAATAAAAAAATATCACTTTTATAAAATACCCTCACCGTATTTCAGTAGTAAGATCTCATTGTTTAGGTTGTAAACATTCAGCTGTACAAAAACATTTTAGGTAGGAAAGGGGGTACACACTGCCCCTGGTTTTATCAGGTCGTATGTTAAAAGGAGACATTCTAGTGCGTTTATTAGAAGACAACTAGTTTATTATTATTTATTTATCCAAACACATAAATATTGGTACAAGGAAGAACCAGGTAAATATGCGCCTCACAAATCTCATTTGATTTGTGTGGGGGCTGTGATACTGCCCAGGTGCAGAGACTGAAGCAGGTGGTTACCTTAGGGGGGGACACCCGGAGACTTTGACCTAAAGGTCTAGTCCAAAAGGCAGTGGAGCATCTTAAGGAGATGCAGTCCCATGGTAGCCGGTGACCAATGATTGATTCATACGCCACTTGTTCCTTCAGGATACTGGAGCCCATGTGCACCATTGGTTTGGAATCAGGGTTTTCCTACTCCCCTAGGTGGACTCGCCGTGTCCACCGACCCGGTTAAAGTGCCGGACATTCGCTTTTCGTCCTCTGAATTTCGCAAACAATACCCGTGGTGCGAGAAGGCAGTGAGTAGGACTTTTGTGGCAGAGGCTATATTCGCGTGGCCATGTGAGAGCATTTCGAGAGGGAGAGCAGACTCACCACTTTCGTCCGTACCAGGGCATTTGGAGGCTGAAGACGGCTAGTCCTGGCCAAAAAGCGTCCTGTTTGCTAACTACTGCTAGCGTTCGTTCTTCTAACCCAGATTTCCATTTGTCGACAGATGCAGCTACGTTTGGGCTAGCTCTTTCTACAAAGTGGCCAACAATTTTGATGGACAGAGCATCACTAGATTATTAGTATTCGATAGCATGTGTCTTCAAAGTATCGCTCGTGTATTTTTGGACCACCAAGTTAGCAATCCGAAGGCTGGATGTGTCGTGATAGGTAAATATGACAATGAATAATAAGGTGATAAATCTTAATCAAATGAAGTAGTTAGGATGTATGTTGTCTATGCCTAACCACCGTCTACCTCAAGTGGCAGTGTTATGTGATGTGGTAGTTCGGAAGTTAGAGGCATTCGAATCAAGACATAGTACAATTCTCAAGGTCACTGATAGTCAGACCGAACTATGTAAATAAGCGCAAACTACTTACGTAGTTGTAATTATCGTAACTAGTGGTTTGAGAATTTTGGGGATACGGCTTAGAATGATTCACAGTGACGTCTTGCTTTAGAATCTGAGTTATGAAACCTCCTTATATCATTTTTCCCTTTTCTATTCCTAATCATTTTTACTTCACTACTGATACTGTTAGCAATTCTATTACTCAGGGACTTATTTTGAAATAATTTTATCTCTCTTTCTAATATGACATGGCTAGTTGAACTGATGGACGTGTGTTGGGTTCTTTGTTGCGTACGGCTGACTGTGTGATTTATTCTTCAACTCACTAACGAATTGTTCTCTAACCATTCATTATCCCTGTTATTTTAAGTAATCAGGAATTGATATTGTTCGGAGAATCACCGAGAAGAAATAGGTGATTACTAAACTGTTCTTTCATCCTCCCTCCAGATACTTCAAAGGTACGCACCTATGACTTAGTAAAAAATCAGTTCATTAGATAGTTGTTGACATTGACTAGTTATTATGAATTAGTGCATATTTATACATTTTCAACTAGTAGGTATGAGTATAAAGTAAGGTAATAATAAATTCAAAGTAGTTGTACATTTTAATGATTTTCTATCGTTTTGTTACTTTCTTTGATTTAGTGATCTTTACCATCATGTGGTATGAAATTATTCCATCGATTGCATTAGTAGCCGGAATAACATTTGCGCTCCCACCTTTAATAAGCGTGACCAGTTATGCATGTTTTGGTAGAGTAAGTTTGTACTGTGTCTAATTATTATTATTATTATTTACCATTGGAATTTCTAATTACCTCATTTCATTTAGTGGAATCCACCTCATTTATTTCGGTTTAAACAAGATTTCTTCCTACATTTACGTGATAAAGATCTTGAAGGACCACTTTTATTTCAAGTATGTCAAATAAAATTAGTTTAATGTATTAAAAAATATTTCTTTTCAAGGACTCAGAGTTTATCTTCAAGGATTAACCAAATTGGTTGTTGACTGATATGTGTAACTTGATGTAGATTTTAGCAAAAATAAAAATGTTGATTTACAATGTTTGAGTTATGTTAAGAATTTGTATACGTTAAAAAAAGCAACTTAATAGTGAGATGGTGAAGATTTGTGGGTGATTTTGATGAATTTCTACCCGAAGTTTGTGCTGATGATGTCGCTCAGAAGGACGATGAAAGCTCCACGACTAAACCATCCACCAGCTCAGAGAACAAACCTACATCAAAACTTAATTGTTGATCCATTAATTCAGTTTATATTGATTAGGTTTGTCTCACTGTTGATATTTTGACTGGATTTTAGTCAGTCTCAGTTGGCTTGAATGTTTCGTTCGAAATTCCTCATTACACATCTAGCCGACAAATCCCATATAGAAGAAACGTACGTTTTGGACTCTGTTGCTGGTCACATTCTATCCGTTCTTTATCGTTTATCTTTGTGCAATGTTTTTTTCATTACAATACCGAAAAGCGAGAATAATAATACAAAGTTACAGTGTTTTAGCTTGAATTTCTTGGATATTAAAGTATTGATGAGGACAGCTGTAAGTTATTGTGGATAATAATTCAATGGGATTCTTATTAGGTTTAGAAATAAGTCATGTACTTAACATGAACTAGTATTTCTTTATTATGGTTTATAATCTACAGTGATTATATGTCCTTATTAATAGTTTTACGGTAAAACAAACGTCGTAGATTCCGCTACTAGCAACAACCAATCTTCTACAAAAGTTGTGACAAACTGGTTATATCGAAGTAATCCGCACATATACCTACAAAATCTGATCGAAATTCATCCCTACATATCAAAAACGAAATAATTCGAGCCTTTACTAATAATATAAGTATCATACCCACTAAACAAGTTAGCAGCTATCTCAGTAGATAACGCGTTGGTCTGAACGCATCTGCTCTATGGTGACTAATGTTGAGCCATGTCACGTCAATATATGACTAGTGTTAAATATATTTTAAAAACTGTTTGTATTCATGACTGGTAGTGATTCGTTTACTTATTGTTTCAAGCGTCGTACAACTATCATAACCTTATTCAATTCAATAAAGTGCTATATTGATCCATCGAATCCCATCACACATAAATGATGTCAGACCTAAAATGGATGCAACTGCACTACTGTAAACAAATCTTAGACCTTTCAAGATTTCTAACCACAGGTCATGCATTATCATCCGGCAGATTTTAACCAAAAAGTCTATACTTTTAAACATGCATCAGTCAACAAGTCATCGGGTGATGTTATTTGCAAGGTGTATATAATTAGCAGAGACATGATTATGTAATCGCACAATTTAAAGCAATATTAAATATGATTGTCAGATGGATGACTATAATCTGTTAACCAGAAGTAATCGTGTATCTTGATCAATACATCACTGAAATAGTCGATTTTCCACAGCCTAATACTAAAACTCTTTTAGTTCCTAGTGAAACCAGTTGTACTACACTATTACAGAAGCACAAATTCACAATTAATCGATTTATATTTATTGTAGACAAAAAAAACCAGGGTTACAAAATGCTTTTACAAACTTATTCGCGGTTTCTTCGTTTTCTTGTGCTGTGTGGCCTTTTGATTACGTTCTACAGAGGCTTAAAAGGAAAACAGAAAAAGAATTGATTTGTTCTATAATATAATGGACTTTGTCAATAGGGTGGTTAAATAGTGGCCGAGTGATAGTGATAATATAACTATGCTTCTCTTCGCCTAGTTATAACTTACCAAGCAGTTCAACTATCAAACACTCTGTCGATCACAACTTGAATATAGTTAGCAGTGTGTACATTGCTGCTAAATAGTTCTGCAACAAAAATGTGGCAGATATTCATCCAATGGTTATCAAAACGATGAAATCTTGTGATGTGAACCTTATCTTCTAAAACAAACGGGGAGTGAATCAAACGCTAATTTACTCATGTAACTTGAATTTACCTCAGTACAAGCTTTTGGCATTCGGTTTTAAGTGCAGTGACTAGTTATGGTGCCTGATGAAATGGCGATTGGAATTCAGAAACATCGGCAGGCTTTTACCAACTTGGGTCGACTATGGCGTAGGCGAGATAACTGTCGACCGACCAATGGACGAGTTTACTGTACAACGGTATGCTTCGTTCTACTTTACGGCTGTGAAACATAGCCTTTAGAAGTAGTGGATATTTGTAGGTCACTATTGTTCGACCATAGGTGTCTTGCACATTGGAACTACCGAGTTGAGAATACTTAAGTTAAACGTAAAGTACTAAGTAAGGTCAGAAGGTCGGTCAATTAACACATCATTGGTTTGGCACAGTGCCAAGTTCATGTAGGTCGTTCCAATCAGCGACTTAGTCATGTGATATTAATGTTCATCCACCAATTGATGTAAGAATAGAATGTACGGAAACTATGACGCCACCAGTCAGACTAGACAATTTGGGTAGGTGCAGATCGTTTAGTTAGAGTCCGTAACCAATGACTGGAGCTTCTAGGTAACGCACTTCAGAATCGTCTGAAATGGTGCGAGTCTATTTACCCTTTGTCTTCCCGTAGATCATGAGTTTTTAGATTCACCATACATTTGTTTATTTTAATTTGTATTTTCTGGCAATGTACTTTCGATGCATAATCTACAACTAACACTGTCACTACATCTACTACTGTGGAATCCGTCCTTACCACTTCATCTCGATGTGCCAGTAGGGTGTGGCAAATTAAAACGATTTACACATGTGGATGTTCTACGTTGCGTATGACTGGCTGAGTCATGATTTACTGTTGCCTAAACTTAAGCAGAGGGATAAGCATTTTTATTGGCTATATCTACTAATTGAAAGCTAATGAATGCTTAAGAGTCCCTGCGATCACTTAATCAACATTTCATTAGATGAAGGTTAAAAATACCAATCAGTCTGATTACATTAGACTGAACAATTGAAAACATACAAAACAAATTACCTTCATCCGAAGATAATTTTCTTTTTTGCAACCGATTAGATGTGTCAACTTCGTCCGCACTGAAATTATTCATTTCCAAAGGTTGAGATGCTACATCTAATAGCTTGGATTTCTTTTTCACTGGACCATTCCATGCCATACCAAGAGCATTACGAGTGACCTTATGCAACTTGCGTCGTTCTCGAATAACACGAGCGCCTAATGATGCACGACTGCATATAATCTGAATGAGTTGATGATTTCCACCACCAAGTTCTTGGGTAAGAGCAGATTCAGTTGACTCAATTAATTCAACTAATTGATCAGGTCCTGCCTTTGCCATTCCAGCTGATACAGAAGCAACAAGGCTATTCGCACTCTCTGGTCTAATTGTACCTGACATGAGTGCACGACGGAGGCGAGCCTTTAAAACAAACGAAAGGAAACAAAAGATCAACTCACAAATTTAGAAAATAGTATACATCTGAGAATAACATCGGAAAACAGGAAGCACTAGATAGTCTTTTTTTCTAGTATGGGGACTCAGTGGTGTGCATCCATTATTTTCTATGAGGGCTGAACCTAATATTTTCAGACGTCGAGTCAAGTGTGTAAATTATACCATCGAGTCCCTATGATCCGAAATTCGCAATATCATTTGACAACCATCACTTGTTATCAATGATACCTATCTTATTTTCAACATAATTGAACTCCGATTCTCACCAGGTTTTTAAAAATTCCCCGTTAAGCTGCTCAATTATGTATATTCTAATGCACATCACACAGAAAACGATACAGAAGATGGAAACTGATCATCCAACCCACCTGTGCTCTTCTTCGTCTTGATTTTGCTCTAGCAGTAAGTTCTTTAGAGAGATGCATACCACGTAGTCGTATTCTGGCGCCCATATCTGTTGTATCATCGTTGACAGCTGAAGCTAATGATGAAGCTGCTGTAAAAGCTAATCGTTCACGCTGACGAAATTCCCGACTAATTAATTTCGAAGCAGATCTTAAGTAGGCAAAATAAGCTGGAACTTGTTTTTTAACGGATAGATTCTCATCTGACTGATCTAACAATTGATTATCAGAATCACTTGAAGGTCGAGTATTTAGTGAGAACATATCAAATAGTTGCGTTGTATTTGGATGGGGTAGACGTAATAAAAGACCGGTAGTCAATTTCAAAGCTAGTAGCCTCTGTAAAAAAGGAAACAGGAAAGTGTACATTTATATGAGATTCGAAAGTTTCAAATTAACTTGAGCAATAAAACAAAAGTCCTAATCCCATTTTACCTAGTAACTATTCCTAAATTCACTGGCTTCTATATGACAGATGACAATGTGTAGTGAAAATTCTGTGTCACGATAGTTGTATGAGTACTGATGATGGGTTGGGTGTGACTGATGGAATCAATTTACCACATATAGTAAAAGTCAGGTCAGCTTATGTTGATATAGACCATTTTGGTGCTATTGGGGTGTTAGTTTAACTGTAAAAGGTTCGGTTTACAATAGATCTATGAAAACAGTCTCGCTCTGGACATGTGGAATCTGGTTCCTCTGAACTCATGACACTTATTGGTAATAATGAGGTTCAACAATGAGAGTTAAAGCGGTGACGACAATTTAGTTATTGTCGTCATTCTGAAACACAAGGTTCAGTAACCTGGACATCTGTTATGAATTTAACCCAGCATCTTCAACGTAGTGCATTACTTTTCGAAAGAGAAAGAAGGCGGGGTCATTTTATGACATTCCGCCGTGGTATGAAAGAAGACTGGCGCCTGTTGACCAATCTTGACTCCTTAGCTGAAGTTCTAAAGATTATGTAACTTAGTTACTTGAAACGTTATTAGGTACCGACCAAGTTGAAATCCTACTTAGATGTACTCACCGCTTCTTTTTCTGTGTCGCGTATGTTTATTTGGAGCCTAGTTGCGCAATAAGTTGTGTATGCTAAATAAAATATTGACGTTTGGTGCGATTAGTAAAATATTCTCCTACTTCAATAAACAGAATAAAACGAATGATTTGCTTCGAAAAATATGTTTCAGTTATAGAGGAAATCTCTTATCATGAGAGCTAATGTATGTCACATAGCTAAAGAAATTTTTGGAAAAAAATAGTTCCAAATACGTATTGCATCCGTCAAATTGGTGAAGATTTTTTAGCTTAGGTAGATGATTTCGGTAAAGTTTCGTTTTATGAACCGGATGGTTTAATCGTGAAACATTTGTTCTTCACATAACAAAAGATGTGATAGGTTGAAAAAAGTCTCTGAAAAGGCATTGTATTGCTTACAACTAATACATGATTGATTATAATAGTAATAATCTCTTCATTCCAAGCTATAACAGTCTATTAGAAATTTTAGGCAAAGATGGATAGTTGCTAGCAATAGAATCCAGGACGCACGTTTCGTCCTATTTGGGACTCGTCAGCTGGAAGCACCTGCATCTCAGAGTTGATATTCACTTCGGGACTAGGACTCAGTACCTTTCACTTCAAACGCCATCGCGTTATCTACTCGGCCGCTGATTCCTGATAGCCACTTGCTTGTGCAATGGGCAATACGCACAGTATGCCAATAACAGACTAATCAATTGCAGTTCTAAACATCAATGGGAAGATTCAAACAAACAATACCAAGTGAATTTAGTCTATTAGAAACATTGAAAACAGGAGATCAATTCATTAACTTATTAATTATAACATACTTGACAATAATATTGTGGTCTATTGTTTAATTCATCCAATGCAATTTTATTAGCAATACGAAATATTCTCAATACTGGTTTACGTCCAACACTTAAATGTAATAATTGTCCAAGATAAATCAAATTAGATAATAACTGAAATGGGAAACAAAAAAAGGAGATGAAGTAAAGATAAGAGAGAGAAGGAGGAAAAATTGTACGGGGAATATGCGACATACATCAGTGTTAAAGGATTATCCTAAACTCAACGGGAACGACGACAAATACCTAATAATACTGGAGCTTGTGAAGGAATGCAATGTTAAAACATGAATTAGATGATATAAAAAGAATACTGGTGATCAATGCATTAAAAATCACAAGTTATATGATCATGGCCCCCGAATGCCCTTGTACGGACGACAGTGGGGAGAGTCCACTCTCCCTCTCGAAATGCTTCCACATGGCCACGCGAATATATAGCCTCTGCCAGGGAAGTCCTACTCACTGCCTTCTCGTGGCGGGAGTGTTGTTTACGAAAGTGAGAGGACGAAGAGCGAATATCCGGCTCTTTAACCGGGTTGGTGGACATGGAGGGTCCACCTAGGGGAGTTGGAAAACCCTGATTCCAAACCAATGGTGCACATGGACTGGCTCCAGTATCCTGAGGGAACAAATGGCGAATGAACATATTGTTGGTCACCGGCTACCATGGGACTACATCTCCTCACGATGCCCCACTGCCTTGTGGATCAGACCTTTAGGTCAAAGGCTCAGAGTGTGGTCCCCTAAGAAAACCACCTGCTTCAGTTTGGGCACCTGGGCAGTATCAAAGCCCTCACACAAATCAAATGAGATTTGTGTGGCGCATATATATCTGATGCCCCTTTGTACTAATATTTATGTGTTTAAATAAATAAAATATACGATCATGAAAAGTCGTCTACTCCAAAATGCAAATGTTAGGCGATTCTTGGTGTACTTGATCACCGTTATTGTCAAAGGATTATCTATGCCCCGATAGTAAGATTGTACATGTTACATATGGTTTCGCTTACGATATGACACCATAGAATAGAAGATAACTATGCTAAGTAATGGTCTGCTTTAGTTTATTACAATTTCACAACCGGGGCCTTTAAATATTAAGCATCTCAATAACCTCAGATATGATCAAATATTATTCAGAATAAAAGCTAATGACGATTTCATATTATAATTTTTCTGTTACATACTTCATATGAAGGTAAGGTTTATTGTGTTAACTGGCTAGATATAACATAAACTTTTGCTGTTCCATTTTCTTTACAATTCTATTACCCTACTTTATATGGCGTATTCATGTTGAAACCATATGGAACCAAATAGTTTATAAGCAAAAATGGATGGTGGCTAGCAGTGAAATCCAGGAAGCAAGTTTTGTCCTATTTGGGACTCGTCATCTCAAACATTGTATATTTTAAGCCTTAGTATCTAACTGATCTTAGCTAGACTGCTACCATTAAAAACTTAGAAGCATCGAACGACTGTTTTGTCCTAGTATGAGACTCTTTAGCAATGCACACTCATAACTCTGCGCTAGGTAAGAACTATTAAGTCGATGACAACAGCTTTTAATCTCTATCACTCTCATTTTATGCGTTTGAGTAGGTTCATTTAGATAAAGAAATCATGATAAATGTAGTGTTCTAAGCTGAATTGTTGAATCATGAAAGTTTCTTTATTCATTAGACAATATCATTAGGTTTAAACTTGTCATAGTAATATCTATCCAAAAAGATAAATAAATCTTACCGCATTTGACCATTCTTCTGAAATAGGTACACGTGCGTCAACTTCCAATTGAAATAATAAACCAGTTAGTATTCTTTGCAACTAAATTAGCAAGACAAGAAATGAGGAGATAAGAAATATCATGATATATATGATGTTCGGCTGTATGTTGGGATCAATTTGAATGAAGAGCGTGATGAGATTAGATGTATGTGTTAAATCGTGTGCCGGCAATTGTTATCATCTTGTACCTTTCTATTAGACGGCAGTGATTTATTGATTGAACCAGTGACACAGAAAACCCGTACGAGTAGTCTAGAGTACTTGTTGGTCTAGCTATCTGCCTAGACCAGCCAGTTAAGTCCAAAAACACCGATAACAGCCTCTGCAATATGAATCATTATTCTCAAACATACTGAGTTTATATACCAAACAAACTGACCACATCGTACCAAAAAAATAGAAAATAGCATTTGTACAAGATTCAGCTAAATGTGGCTGTGAATAGGGGGAACAGTAATTAATAGACTGGGGATAAACTAAGAATGGCAAATCGTACAGTAATAGTCTATAGGTCAAAATAAAGCTCACAATAAAAGGAACATGAATATGAATAGTTAAGTTACTTGGTAATTATACAATAGGAAATATGCATATCATATTGGTCCATAAATAGTCCTCAAAGTTACCATTCATATTTCTCCACGGGATATAACAGTATGTCACTAGGTAAAGATGACAAATCAGTTGATGAGGTGTGATTGTTGAAACATGAATTTCTCATATTCAATTACTTTATATCTTAAACTCATGATACTGATCGGAGTAGGTGTGTGTTTGAAGAAAGTTGATGAGAGGCTAAACTGAAATGTAGTATTATTATGTAAAGTTATTGACCTAGAATTGATCAAAGTCAAGAAGATGCACTCACTCTTTATTCCTTAGCATATAATTCATTCAATGGTAACTATTTATTGAAATCTCTCTAGTGATCATTGCAGTCAACATAGTTATTTGTTTGAGCATTTCAGTAAGGAAAGTAATCTCATGGAGTTAATTGGGTCACTGTAATATATAATTCAATATTCAAAACTAACTTTATATAGTAAGCAATTAAGTATTGACCGAAGTATGTTAGAAAAAATGGACAAACAATATTCTACTACTACATGTTTAGTATTGAATAACATCTTCAAATCCTAATCTTTCACATTAATGCTTATACTCTTACTACTTCTAACACTATGGGATTGGAACCGACGACTGCATCTCTGTGCTAATGTGGTATGGCAACTCGAACTGATGTACGTACGAAATTCTACGTTGTGGCTGACTGACTGAGTATTGAATGAAAGTGAGGTAGTATCGACAAAAGTCGTACATCGCGTGACACTTGGTACTTATTTGGGAGCCGTACACAGTATCTGCAAAACTATGTTCTTTGTTGCATTTGAACTTATGATAGTCAGTACGACATTCAAGGATGTTAAGTTATCGACCATAAAACAAAATGCTTCTCAATATTTACTCAATAAAGTTTATTAAAGATATTAGGAGTATTCAGTATGAAAGCAGTTTCTATGAAGCGACCGAAACTTCTACCTTGATATAATCAGACTAATCTGTCATGATAATCTCACAGTCATACTATATCAGTTAGTCAATCACAACGTAGAACTTCGTACTTACGTTCGTACATCAGTTCGAGTTGCCATACCACATTAGCACAGAGATGCAGTTGTCATTTCAAATTCCATAGTGGTAGAAGTAGTAAAACTATAAGCAGTAATGGAAAAGATTAGGGTTTGAAGATGCTATTGAAGGAGTATTATCCAGTGAAATAAATTTGGAAAGAGAAAAAGGATAGAGACATGAAGAATGCAGAAGATTAGAATTTGGGATGCACCTTCGCCACTGCAAACGATTTTGAGCCATGTTATTTAAGGTCTCTAACTATCGATTGATATCATCTCGTGGAATTCAACCAGGTAGTCTACACCTGCCAACATGGCTCAGTTCAATTGTCAATCATACTATATCTTGGCCCACAGATTTTCATCGCCTATATCATAAGACAGCTTTTTGGCAATACTCTCAGATAAGTGAAACTACTATCAATCCAGTTTTCATTTCGTATACTTCAAAGATCTTTTTATGTAATATGAACAACAGCAAAGTGACAATCGTCTACATACCTCTAACATCATTTGTGTATCACATATTATTAATGAATAAATCAACTTACTACTTTGGTAAGCAAAGATGGATAATGGCTAGCAGTGGAATCCAAGACGCACGTCACTTCGTCCTATTTGGGACTTGTCAGTTGGATGTACCTGCATCTCAGAGTTGATGTTCACTCCATGACTCGAACCCAGTACCTTTCGCTTCAAACGCCACCGTGAAAGGTACTGTGTTCGAGTCCCAGAGTGAACATTAACATCCAACTGACGAGTCCCAAATAGGACGAAGTGACGCGCGTATTGGATTCCACTGCTAGCCACTATCCATTTTTGCTTACAATGCTTATGAATTTAGGCTATATCGAGGCGATATCGCACAGTAAACACATATGTCAATAAGTGACTGACCAGTTGCAGTCCTAAAAACATCAATGGCAAGATTCAAACAAACAAACAAACAATACTAAATGAATGTAACTTACCACTTTGTTTAAATTTGATTTATTCTTCTGTAATTTTTTAAACAAAGCTGATCGTACATTTAAACCAGATAATTCATAATCCATTTCAATTGTCTGTTTTATAAAACGATCTTGATTTGTCATGACTTCACATTTTAATAATAAATTTAAACAACGTGTAGCCCATTCACGTGTTTCACGATGACCTGCTATGAGTAGACTAATTTTTTTAGGTTTCTCTTCTGTATTGTTCTTTGGCATTGTTTTTGTTGTTTCTATAGAGAATAATGTACTATATTGTTCACGACGTTTATTTAATGCATTACGATATTTTTTAGATTGAAATTCAGTTATTGGACATGATAGATGATTATCATATTTAGGTCCATTGATAAGAATACGCCAAAATGATGACAGTTTAATGGAAGATATATAGGTATCTATATTGTTATCTAATGTATTGGTTGAATCTTCTTTTGGTTTAGTAATCATTTGATAAACCAGTTTTAAGGCATGTTCTAATGTATGAGCAACTATAAAGTATTGGTTATCCATAGCCTTTGCAAAAAAGGGGGGGGGGAGAGAAATAAAATAAGATACATAAGAGAAGGATTTAATATGAATCAATTCTCATAGTTGAAGCAACCGTCCAGTGCTTCCGGGTTTTCTATGTCAGTCTAGCTTTAATTGACTCATGATCTTAACTATGAAAATACTGATATCTCCACAAAAACCCTTCTGATTGATCAATTCATTGAAGTTAACTTCATAAAGTGTATAATAAATAATTCTGTTTTTAACATTTGAGCTTCGGTCAAGAGTGAAAGACAAGACGTAAATTTCATGCTGTTTAAGATATATATGAGCGCCATATATCTTATTAATTATTTTACTTATTTAAACACATAAATATTGGTACAAAAGAGCACCAGATATACACGAGCCATACAAATCTCATTTGATTTGTGTGAGGGCTGTGGTACTGCCCGGGTAGCCAAACTGAAACAGGTGGTTTTGTTAGAGGGCCACACCCGGGGTCTTTGACCTAAAGATCTGATCTACAAGGCAGTAGAGGATTGTAAGGAGATGCAGTCCCACGGGTAGCCGGTGACCACTGATTGATTCATACGCCATTTGTTTCTTCGGGATACTGAAGCCCATGTGCACTGTTGGTTTAGAATCAGGGTTTTCCAACTCCCCTAGGTGGATTTTCCGTGTCTACCAACCCGGTTGGAGCGCCGGTCATTCGCTTTTCGTCCTCTCACTTTCGTGAACACCTGTGGTGCGAGAAGGCAGTGAGTAGGACTTTCCTGGCAGAGGCTATATACGTGTGGCCATGTGAGAGGATTTCGAGAGAGAGAGCGGACTCTACCCACTGTTGACCGTACCAGGGCATTTGGGGGTCAAAGATTACGGAATTAACATTAACAAGTATGCATGTTTATTAACATGATTACGATAGATAAAAGAAAATCTACGTATTTTTTATGTAACACTAGATTAAAATTTAGTTTTAGTCTTGAATAGTTTAACCGAAAGAAATCACGATTCTACATGATATTAAACCTGTGAGGTTTGTAGATCTCGTTGCAAGCATGATACCTATAACCCTAAATGATGAGTTAAAATCCAATAATCGCGATTTCGAATTCCGGTTGATTTATACTGGATAATGAATTCAGTGGTTGATAACACTTAGCTCCTGTTACTTAATCCACACACTCATCTTATTATTGAATTCCCTACTAAACGATGAACTGGATAATTTTTAGATGTATAGGTCTTTTACTCACATTTTTAGTGTAAGTGATTTGGAGACATTAATGGATTTTACGATGTCCATCCCAAAATGGTTTTAGTCAGGTAAATAGTGAAAGCCATGAATATCTTTGCCATGTTAATATGAGACACCCCAGGTATATGCTGTTAGACTAGGAGGCCCTAAAAGAGTTATTAATGTGCGCTGCTGAAGAGCTACATATTGGGGCGAAACGTTTCTCCAGTGTTTCCTAGTCTTCTATAACTGTAAAATACCGATTTCAATGAGTGACGGTCGATAAGATGAAAATCTTCTTTGGACTGAACAAAGTTTGTACAAACGATTCATGTTACGTTTTTTTGGTAAAAAAGGATCTTTGAAAAACAAACTTTCTTACCGATTTTGAACATTTAAGTTCCCTGGTAGATGTTGTTGATTGTGATTGCTTAGTATCATTATTGATCGCATCATTAGTATGTTTATTATTTTCAATAGTTTCAAATGTATCAGCATTAGTAAATGGATCTTCATCATAATTTAAATCCATATTGTCATCAAAATCAGCATCATTGAAATCTATATCTTCTCCTCCTTCATTATCATCATCATCTGAACTTGAGGATTTTTCACAATCTTTGGACAATTTTGAAGTATCCTTAGGATCATCATCATCGTCGTCATCATCATGATCATCAACGTCATCATCATCATAAGCATTTTTAGGTAATTCAATTTCACTCATCCATTTAGCATCTTCTTTTATAATTTGATTTTGTATATATTCTTCTTTTGGTGTTTTCAATGATCTTTTATAATTATCTAATTCATTAAGACCACTATTTATCATTATTGATAAATTAGAATAAACTAATCGATTTAATTGAATCATACCACATGGTATTATATCATTACTAATTATATTGATTAATTGATTATGATATTGTTTCATTTTTATAAATAATTGTTGATTATTATATATAGTTTGAATAATTTGTAATCCTAGTAACCGAGTAGAATATCTTGTTACTGGGGGTGCAGTTAAAAATGCTATAATATAATTTTCATAATATAATTTAATTTTATTAATAGATAATTGATTAAATAATAAACAAAATAAATTTAATAATTGTTGACGTAATCTCTTTGACGATTCACGTTCTATTGCTGTAGCAACATTTAATAAAATTAATTCATCTAAATAATGATGATGATTATTTTGATTAGTAATCATATGGATAATCATTGTATGATTTATTAAATTATATAATAAATAATATGCAGATAATCTACCTGATAATTTTTTATATTCTAATTGTTTTAAACAAAATTTTATAAAATTTTCTAAAAATTTTTGTGAATGTGAATAATTTAATAAAAATTTAATTAAACAATAACATGATTTTATACGAATTTGATCAGATTTCGATGTAATTGATAATAATTTTAATTGATTATATAATTGAATTAAACGAGAACCAACTTCATTAGTATTAGTAGTACTACTATTATTAGTAGTATGATTATTAATCGATAATTTTTGATCCATTTCTTGATTGGTATCATGATGATTAATTTGTTGAATAAATGGATCATTTAAACGATATTGAAATATAACATGTAATAAAGATAATGATGAATGAATTGATTCTTCATTATTATTATTATTACTAATATTAGTAGTAGTATTGTGATTATTCAATTCAATATCGATTATATTAATTAATGTTAATAATTGTTGATTTGTTAATGTATGATTATTATATTGATGACGTAATAATAATGTTAAAGTATAATATAAATTTTTTGAAAAATTTTCTGTATAATAATTAATTGATTGAATTTTATTAAATAAATTAAAATTCGATTGATTAATCGATAATAATTCAAATAATTTTTCATTAATTTTTATTAAATAATTTGAAAATTCTGGTAATTGATTAATTATTGATTTTGATGTAGTAATCAATAAAAATAATTGAATACATTTCATTGTAATATTAATAATTTGTATATATTTTGTATTAAAACAATTAATAATTGATGGAAGAAATTGATTAATAATATTGATTTGATTGAATGAATCATTATGATCATGATCGATTTGTTTTAACCAATGATAACGTATTAAACCAATAAATAAATATAAACCACAACATACTAATAAATGGGATTGTTTTAAATGTGATTGATTATTGATTATTAATGAATTTGATTGGATTATTGATTTTTCATGATCTAATTCTAAATATTTCCAACGTGGTTCTAATAATTTTGATTTTGGTTGACACCAACCAAATACAATACTACTACTATTATCATAATTATCAGTAGTATTAGTAGTAGTTGGATCATTATTAATGGTAATTTCATGTAGATTATCAATAACAAGTTGTTGAAATAATTGATAAATAATATTGATATTAGATTGAAGAAATTTATTTGAGAAAATTCCTGTTTTCATTGGAAGACGTACTAATGTACATTCAATTCTAGCTAATGCTTTATGTCGAAAACGTACACCACAATTCATAGAACTATTTACATTGGATTCTAAAGTGATACCAGATGTAGCACAATGCAGTGCCGTTTTAATCTCTGTAAATAAATGAATAATACCATCAGCAGATAATAATCTACATAGACGTGTCATACCTTCCGGTGATTTTAAACCATTTGCTTCAGGTAAATCTGTATTCATAGAACCAGTTAAATCATTCATAGATAATTCTTTAGCATTATTATCAGATAATTTTGCTGAACGTCTTGAATCCATTTCTTCAGCTAATCTACCTACTATTTCATCTAAATAAAGATGACTCATTATACGACCAATATAATCTAATTGACCACATTTAAATGATACTTCACCTGATTTAATAGCTTCTTCTACTTCAGCTAATATACGATGTAATGTATATAAACGTACTTGCCAAAATGCGTAACCACCACGTTCAAGTTGTTGATTAACAATTTCAAATAATTTATCTAATCCTTTACTTGGTCCTAATAATCTTCCAATACGTGATAATGATTTCGATGCTTCATTACGTATATCAGAACTAATATCACGTGATGGACGTAATATATCAATAACACGTAGTATAAGATTTGGCAAACGTGATTCAAGATATCCTAATGGTAAACGTCTTAGTAACATAACTAATGAAATTACTAAGGAGATTTTTAAAGGTTGATTATTAAGATTCTTTTTTTGATGATCCATTATTTCATTATTATTGATTTTAATTGGTTTAACAATAAATGGTTCTAATCGTTTAATAACATTAAGCATATAATTAAGAATAATTGAATGTTCTTTTTGTTCATTCTGATTATTATTATTATTATTATTATTATTATTATTCAACTTGGATAACTTCAAAGATTTTGAAAGAACTTTTTGTTTCATCATTGAATGATCATCTTGTTCTCCTATTGGTTGTTTATCATCCTCACCCCCATTATTATTGATTGAAGGGACTTTTTCTTCCATTAGTGAATCATCATCTTCTCCTCGTATTGGTTCTTTATCCTCCTCACCGCCATTATTATTGATTGAAGGAACTTTTTGTTCCATCATTGAATGATCATCTTGTTCTTTTATTGGTTCATTATCACCTTCATTATTATTGATTGAATAGTTCCAATTAGGTGATTGAAAAGCATCAATTAAACGAATCATAATTTGTGATGCTAAATTAATATTGATACATGTATTTAATTGATTCATTATATATTCTAATAAAATACGATAATATTTCCAATTAAATTGTTTAGCTAAACCTTCTATAGCATCTAAACAATAATCAATTAATTTTTTATGATTTTCTAATATACTACTATTATTAGTATGATTATTATCAGTAGTAGTATAAGTATTCATAGATGAATTTAATTCTGGTTTTAAATAAAACCATATCATTGGTAAAAATATATGATATAAATCATATTGTGAAATAGGAAATAATTTTTTAGTTGCTAAGGGGTGGTGGTTGTGGTGATGCTTAGTTACTAAGTTCCATTGACGACGTGATATAATTGTTAATGGATTATGTAAAAATATAGATAAACGACGTATAGCACATAATTGACGTAATAATGTACCACTTTGTAAATTTATATAATAATCATTTTGTATTATATTATTATCTAATAATAAGGATAATGATAAAAATCTTTTCCGTAATTGATATGTACGTATCATTGAATTTAATAGACGTAATAAATGTAAACGTTTTAAATTGGATGATTGTGTAAGATCTTTTAAAGAGTTAATTAAATTTGGCCATAAACATTTAATAATTAATTCATGATAATATTTCTCTTTATCTATACTACTATTATCATTATTATTAGTAGTAGTATCGTTACTATGAGTAGTAGTAGTAGTACCATTACAATTATTATTACTATTACTACTACTACTACTACTACCATTATTAGTAGTACCATTTTGTATCTTTATTAATCTAGATTGTATAGATTGTATACAATGATTAGTATAATTTAATGCAATATCACGTAACTGTAATTCATCATTATTTAATGTATAAATTGCACAATTTAAACCAGCACGATGTAAATAAATGAATTGTTCCGGTGGATTATTCATTTTAAATAATAAACATAATTCAATAAGTAAATTAAAACCATGAATACGTTGTATAATATCTGGTTGTTCTATATGTGTTGTATCCCATGAATTTAACTAAAATAAATATGAAAAAAAATATATAAATTTAATGAGCGGTTAATATAAATTACAGGGGAAAAACAGTCGGAATTTTATACTTTACCCCCCCCCCCAAATATCCGAGGGTGGGGAGGGTCCACTGTTCCTCTCTAAATGCGCTTACGTGGCGACGCGTATACAACCACTGAAAGGGAAGTCCTACTTAATGCCTTCTCATGGCGTATTTGTTTTTGTTTTTCTAAATAAGAGGATGAAAAATGAATGTTCAGCGCTGGTGAATACGGAGGATCCGCCTAGGATAGTTGGAATACCTTCATTCAAAACCGATGGTGCACATGGGCTCCAGAATCCTAAGACAACAAATGTCACTGGCTACCATGTGACTGAATCTCATGACGTTGTTCCATTGCCTTGTGGATCAGACCATTATTTCAAAGGCTCAAGGGGGGGGGGCTAAGAAAACCATCTGCTTCGGCTTGGACACTCGGGCAGTATCACAGCAATCAAACAAATCAAGTGACTTGTGTGGTGCCCCTTTGTACCACTATTTATGTGTTCAAATACGTAAACAATAATTTCCGTCACCTAATCTCCTACCTATTTTTAAACTTATTAAACTCAATCCTATTAAACTTAATAGATAAAGATATACAGACGCAATATGGAAGATTGTTTGGCTATAATTTACATAAAATTAATTTATCATTGGGTAGTGACCAATATCATATATGCCACATCCATTTTATTGTTGACTTATTTCAATCGATGACGTTGAAATATGGCCGCTAACAGTCTACATGACTCAATATGTCGTGCAGCATGTTGAGCTGTTGTTGGGTGGTAGTTGTAAGTAATCGACACGATAGAGCTTGATCAGAACTAGGAAGGACTTCATAAACAACATAGTGGTCACTACCCAGTGATCAATCAATTGTAAATACATTTCATCCCTGAAGGAGATCATTCATCATCTGAACAGTTTAGTCCTACTGTCTTTGAAAGTGAAGCTAAGTGACACAGAACCGTACCTGGAAGGGATTATCACCGCTCTGAAAATTACATGTACACCTTGTTGACGAGTGACTACTAGGATGAAACGTTGATTAAACAAAGTTTCCTATTCTAAAAATGACTTTAAGTCGGAAAAATCGAGCAGTGACTTAGAAGTTAAAGCGTTCGAATTCCAGCGTTTAATTAAATTCCATCTAGTTTTCTTTCAGGCAACACGGTAGGATCATTAGCCATTGTAAATAGAATGTGGTTCCTACCCAACTTACTTGTGAATCAGTTAATTAAACTTAAATCGTTTCCTAACCACTTAATCATGAGTATATTTACAAAAAAATCGGTAGTAGGTAGATTACTAACTTCCTACTACTCAATGATCAATCCATAAATGTTCATATATAATCAATCATACATAAAAAACGACCGTAACCCTAATCAATTCATAATAACATGTTTGTCTATATGGCTATGATACACTTTAGTTATTCTAAAAGTTTAAAAATCTCAATTTGTAAACAAATATTCATTAAAACAAAAAAGTTTATCATAGTTGAAAGCGTGAATCAATTGAAGCTAGACCACCGGGGAAAACCTGGAAGCACTGGACGGCCGTTTCGTCCTACTGCGGGACTCCTCAACAGTGCACACCCACGATCTCACCTCGAGATATTCGAACCCAGGACCTATCAGTCTCGCGCCAGAGCACTTAACCTCTAGACCACTGAGCCGGCATCCGATGGTGTTTATGTTTAACTCCTAACAATCCACGAAGTTGAGCAACCGTTCAACAATTGTCTTCAGTGAGTTGATATCTTACAACAGACCTGATTTGAACTCCACTGGTCACTGCTTCTCACTAGAACTTCTGCTGAGGAGTCCCACAATAGAACGCAACTGCCTTCCAGTGCTTCCAGGTTTTCCCTGATGATCTAGCTTCAATTGACTCACGCTTTCAACTATGAAAATATTGAAATCTCCACAAAAACCCCTTCTGATAATAAAACAGTTTATGTTTAACATTAAACTATATCTATCATGCATATATATATTACTAACAACTTACCATGAGTAGTATATTTTGAGTTAAATGATTCAGGGAGTCCGTTGATTGATTATGATCTAATAAATATTTTTTGAAATATCTTAAATTCGTTTCTTCTTTATGATCTTCTTCAGTATTATTATTATTCAACGTATAGATAATTTCAATTAGATTTGTTGGCCAATTTTTTAAACGTGATACACAAACACCAACTACTTGACATAAGAGACTACGAGCAATACGTGATTTTGAACAAACAAATAAATCTAATATTTTTCTGTAAAGAAAGATTAAATAGAAACAAACACAGGTTATATTCTGACAATGAATGGTAGTAGCTAGGAGTTATTTGTGAATTATTATACGATTTACTATTCTTAGCGGTAGTCTATCGGTTAAGTGCACTGGAACGAGACTGGTAGGTCCTAGGTTCGAATCTCGTGAGGTGGGATCGTGGATGCGCACTGCTGAGGAGCCCCATATTAGGACGAAACGGCCGTCCAGTGCTTCCAGGTTTTCCCTGCTGGTCTAGCTTCAATTGACTCATGATTTCAACTATGAAAATATTTCTTATTTATTAGTAACAGTCTCTCACAACCCCAGCCACTTTTGACTTGATTTTGTATGATTGTTATTTTCTATTTTATGGTATGATGCCGTCTGATTTTCTTGTATATAAACTGTGTATGTTGGAAATACATGTATGTTATAGAGGAGGCTGATATTATTGTTTTGTTTTGAACCGCGCTGTGTTAGGAGAGAAGTAAGGGGGTCACACCAAGAGCCTTTGGCCTAAAGGTTTGATCTACAAGACAGTGGAGCAACGTAAAGAGATCAAGTCCAATGGTAGTCGGTGACCAACAATAGATTCATACTCCATTCATTCTCTCAGGATTCTTGAGTCCATGTGAACCAATGGTTTGGAATGAGGGTTTTCCAACTATCCTATGTGGATCCTCCATATTCAACAACCCGATTTATGCGCCAGACATTCGCTTTTCGTTCTCTCAATTGCTTAAACAACGACCCCACGGATAGAAGGCAGTGAGTATAACTTCCGTCATTGACTGTATACGCATGGCCATGTGAGAGCATTTCGAGAAGGAGAGCGAACTCTCCCCACCCTTGTCCGTACCAGGGCATCTAATCGGAATGTGATACGTAACTTTTCATATCTGATGAACTTCAATGATGATTGAACGAAATATTAAAAAAAGCCTTTCCTAGGCTTCTGAAGATCTTATCAATGGATATTCATGGGTATCCAACAATATTTTTTTTGAAAAGTCAACATTCCATTCTGGAAAACAGTATACTAATAAACACTGTTGAACTAACCTTTGGATATAAAAAAGGGGATAGAATAAATGCGATTTCATAGATATGATGGTGAACATTAGATCCCATGCTTAGGGTATCTTAAATTGCTTATGTTGTGCTAGTACATTTGGATTTATAAAAGTAGTTACTTCAACGATAGTAATAAATAATAAACCAATGGAGTTCAACTATGTCGAATACACAACAGTCATTCACCCTAGACAATGGGAGATGGTTACACAATATTTTAAATTCATTACAGTTATAGAAGTATAATATTGGATACCGACTCAATGGTCGAGGTTTCAATGTTTCTGCGCATGATGAAGTTCCTGGATTTGGTTCTCTGTAGAGGGGTCTTAGATGCATATTATTAGGAAGAAACGACCGTCTGGTGCTTTCAGTGATCGGTTAGCTAAGGTCGGTTCGTGATTAAGAAACTATGAAATTCAGAAATTCGCCTTAAAAAAAATCACTACTGTTTAAACTCACTTTAAATATACAGTAATATTTGTTGTAATTTGTACAAGATGAAGAATAGATTGTATAAGTTCTGCTTCAACTGCTTCACCTGTAGCTAACTGTAAATCATATCGTGTAGCTGATTCATCTGAATTCACTAAGAGATTATTAGCAATACGATGTTTAAATGATGCTGATTTAGTGGCAAGGGCATTATTACGCAATGAACGAATTGATGAACGTTGAAGTAATTGTAATAATGCTTGAAGTAATCGTTCACCATCAACTGGTGTCAAACAATTTGTACTATTGTGTTGATCAATATTATTGTTTGAATGATATGGTAATTGAGCTAAATAACCAACTAATTGAAATTCACGCTGTAAACGTAAACCTGATTGTGGTTTTTTGCCAAGATTTGCAAAAAATGTCGATTTCACATGACATAATTCTTGTAAACGTTTATTTAAATAATTGACTAATTCCGAATGGAAAGATTGGATTAATACACGACCTGTAGTGCATACATCTGTTAAGAAAAAAGGAAATACAAGAAGGAAAGAAACTATAGATTTCAACGACAATACACTTTTCATCATATACACAGTAAACAATCTAATGTTAGGTGATGGGAATTGACTAACTGGAAGTCCTAAATTGTAGGGCTTCATGCTAATTGGCACCTATCAGTAAGATGTAGTATTTGAAATCTCTAGAAAGAAGGTAGTTTATGTGAGATGATTTGGCGGTCGGAGATTTCAGGTTTCAGTATGCTTCATCAAAAGTGAATACAAAAAAATCGTAATTGATAAGTAAGTTGGTTTAATCCCATTTACAGTAATGATCAAACGTGCACAAGATGTATACATACGCTAACAATAATTAAGTTTCAGTCAAAAGATATTAACAAAATAATACAAATCATTTTACATTTAAATCTTAACTCATATTCATTGTACAAGTGAGTAGGTATCTGGACTTCGTATTTAAGTGGATAATAGATTTGACACTTAAAGTGAACAATACTGGATTCAAGGACCCAAATGCCCTGGTACGGCCGAGAGTGGGGAGAGTTCGCTCTCCCTCTCGAAATGTTCTCACATGGACACGCGTATATTGCTTCTGCCACAAAAGTTTTAGTCACTGCTTTCTTGTGGCATTACTGTTGTTTACGATATTGAGAGAATGAAAAGCGAATGTCCGGTGCTTTAACCGGGTGGGTGGACACGAAAAGTCCACTTAGAGGAGTTGGAAAACCCCATTCCAAACCAATAGTACAGTAGAACAAAACAAGAATACTATGAGCGATCTATCAGAAAACAAGTGTGAATATATCAATGTGATGTCATTCCGGTGAAGTTAATTTATAAGTAATATGTATGTAAATTTGTGTGTGTGTGTACGTGTATGATCACCAAATTGATTTTAAAAATATCAGAATATTACAAAAAGGTTTTTTTTAATTACAAAGAAAGGGGAGTTGCTGAAGTGTTCCATATAATGCTTAATCCTGCTTTTCTCAATAGAAAAGAAGGTCTCACTATACATTCGACTTGGACTATCTAACCTAGACACCTAGTCCGATATTACTTACAATCTACACTATTACTTTACAAATTGAACTCTATCCTTTATCACTATAAAGGCCACGCAACTTTCATCCTTAACAGTGCACATAAACATACACACAAATTTACATACAATCACCTTGACCGAAATGACATGATATTGACTTGCTTTCTGATTGATGGCATATTGTTCCGTTGTACTATTTAAACTTGGATTAATTTGAATTTGGTTATTTGTTCTCTGAAGAAGTGACTTACACTGAGTGACGAAACATCACAAAATCTAATTTTTCTATTCATTGGGATATTACAAATATATTAATTTATTTATAACAATCTACCCAATGTTCAATTTATTCGAAATTATCAAATCGAAACTTGGCAATGATACCTACGAACATAATAATAATAAATTCACTTGGTGTTGTTTACTTGTAGCCTCTCATTGTTATTTAGGATCGCGATTCGTCAGTCTCTTGTTGGAATATGTGCATACTGTGCGGACTGCCTCGATATTGCCTGAAGTCACAAGCTTTATGAGCAAAGAATGATAGCGGCTAGAAGTGGAATCCAGGACGCTCGTTACGTCCTACTTGAGACTCATCAGCTGGATGTACCTGCACATATGCCAACAAAAGACTTATCAATTACAGTCTTAAATAACAATGAGAAGATACAATTAAACAACACTAAATGAATTTAAACTTCACCATGTTACACAAGCAGGCGGCTATCAGGACTCAGTTGCTGAGTATATAACGCGATGACGTTTGAAGCGGACGGTACAGGGTTCGAGTCCCAGAATAAACATCAACTCTTTGATGCAGGTACATCTAGCTGACGAGTCTCAAATAGGACGAAACGCGCATTCATCTTTGCTAATAATAATAATAATTATTATTATATAACAAGAAAAAATGATACTAACTTACCAGGTAGAAATACTAAATTGTATATAATTTCTACAAGTTTTTCAATAATCTCATTTTTCAATTTCAATGTAGAACTACTTTTACTACTAATTTTAATATTAGTAGTATTGGCAGTAGTAGTCGTCGTCCTCGTTATGTTATTATAATGCATATTTAACAGTTTAAATAATGTATCTAATAATGTTGAATCAAAAAATTTCATACATAAATATCCATTCAATATAGTTGATGATGACCATATATAACTTAATTGTATAATGAAATGATTTAATGATAATGTTGAACTATGTAATAGATCATTGAATATTAATGAATTACAACATATTTGTTTAACAATAATTGAACGATCAATCTGTGGAGGATGAGGATCATGATGATCAGGATCACGAGGAGGATGATCAGTGATTGTATCAGCGATTGTTGATTCTCCCCAAAATTTTATTTTACAAAGCCATTTCGATGAGAATAAATGTACAAGTAAATTGACTGCAGCTAAACGAACTGCTTTTAATTGGGATATTAATGGTAAATGATGATGATGAGTAGTGGATTGTTTTAATGATTCTAATTTAACTTGTTTTACTTCATAGACCATAGCTAGTAAAGATAATGCTAAACGTAATAGAATATCAGCACGTTGAATATTATTGGATAGTTCTATGGAATTATTGGAATTATCATCATCATTTTCATTTATACTGACAATATTTAAACGATGACCCATATAATTTAAAGTTTCATTGATAATTTGTGATAGTCTGTAAGAAGTTTGAACATATACAGAGAGAGAAAGCATAGAGATGATACTGTAAACATGCATTGAATCAAATGAGATTAAAAAAAGATAAGGAAACAACCTTTTCAACTGGTCAAGTCTGGATTATTTTGTTCTATATACAACCATCCTCGCCCTCAGAAGTTGTTTGTTGCCAATTTGTACAAACTTATTTACTTACGTCTGTTACTCCTCGTGGTGGAGCATAGGCCAACAACCAGCCCTTTACATACAACTATGTCCTGCACAATCCTTTCCATATGTTTTTTGTTTCCCTTCAAAATTCTAAATTAACGCAGGCCTTGTGATGCAGTTTGATGATTTCCGCAATCTATGTTCCATCCATCCTGGTAACTTCGAGGACCTACTAATGAACTATTATCCTATATATATTCTTACTGCTTAACTATTGAGTAATTAGATTGTACGTATCTAGATTCATCTTATTATAAGCTGCATTTTGACCTATGGATTATTACTGTACGAATTACTGTTCCTAAATTATATTCAGTTTATTGATTATTGTATCCCACGTTCACGGCCACATTTGGCTTGATCTTGTACAAATATTGTTTTCTATTTTATGATGTGGTGCGATCTATCTGTCTGGTATACAAACCAAGTATGCTTGAAATAAATGATTCGTATACCAGAAGCTGTAATTGCTGTCTTTGGACTCAATTGAAAGGGCTAGGCGGACAAGGGACCAATAAGGATGTTAGACTACTCATACTGGTCGAACGTTATTGACTTGGCATAGTGTTAACATTATACAAGTCGTATTCTGATTGGTGGATAAATCATGTGATAAAAAGCCGGAAATAAAAGCATAGCGAATTGGTAGACGGCCTATTTTTACAAAGTCATAACACACTTCCATCATCTTTTCGTAATTTCCTCTTCATTTGGAACCTGGTTTGTTCTCTCTTACAGTAGGCTGTTGCTGATGGTATCCGACCAACGGATATTGAGTATCTTGTATAGATAACTGTTTACAGATACTTGCACCTTCTTGATGAGGGTTGTAGTAGTTCTCGAAGTTTTAACGCCGTACAGTAGAACTGTCTTGACATTTGTATTGATGATTATGATTTTGATGTTGGCTGATAGTTGTTTCGAATTCCATATGTTCTTTAACTGTAGAAATGCTGTCCTTTAACAATTCTTGCCTTTACGTCTACATCCATTTTGTACAAAAGTGTTATGTAATGACATTCGTCGTTTCTGATGATCATAATTGAGCTATTATGTGATTAATGTATCATTGTACTTGAATATCAGCCTTATTGTAAACTTTCAATGGACGGATCTATAAACTGTCAGTATACGTTTTACTATTACTTAATTATGTTCTATTTGTTTGCTACGCTTTATATCAAATATAGCATGATTGGGTTCGAAAGCATTACATCTTGTTTTGTATGATTTTTGGTCTAATCAATCATGTATATGAGCTAATGGGTGCCTGAAATAGTTATGGGCAGCGCTGAAAGACTGAAATATGTGCATAACAGAAGTTGACTGCTGATTTCTCTTTGAACTCAGGAAAATGTTTAGAGAAAAAGTCGCAGATAGCAGACTAATAGGATTGTAGATTGTATTGACTGAAGACGAACTATCCAGGTTATAATGTGTAATTAATCAGTTAAGGGCGTTACGCTATTGATGGAATAGTAGATGCGGAATAGAAGTTAGCATTTGATAAAGATGTCTAAAGTTACAGAGCTGGGAAGGGTTTTTTATGGAGATTTCAGTATTTCCATAGCTGAAATCATGGGTCAATTGAAGCTAGACCACCATGGAAAACAGGAAGCATCGGACGGCCGTTTCGTTCTATTGTGGGACTCCTCAGCAGTGCACTTCCACGATCCCGCCTCGAGAGATTCGAACCCAGGACCTACCAGTCTCGCGCCAGAGCACTTAACCGATAGCTTCAATTGACTTATGATTTCAACTATGAAAATTATAAAACTCTTTTTTTATTTATTTCGTAGGGTGTTAGAAAGGATTGTTCCTTTACAACTTGTCACGATTGTTATATCTTATAGGTTGAACGCTATATTCAGATCCTAAGCTATTCGGATAATCCTAGGCTAGCATCACTCTGCGACTTGAACACCAGTAAGAAGACACGAGTATGAGAGAAGTACTTTACTACAAGGTTCATTTATGTACAGAAAAACAGGGGTATTATAGTAATTAAAAGACCTTGAGATTCCATAGTAGCAGTATGTTAAACAGCCGATCAGGACCTCGTTATTTTAGTAGCATAGCTTCTAACTAATCGCTGATTGGTTGGGCTCTTTATGAGCTTCTGGAGGCTCTGATAGAGTTTACTGTAAGCGGACTTAACACGATGCCATATGACTTTTGTATACCGAAAATAATTAACCAGAGGGAACAGAGTTAAACAAAAATCAACTAATTAATCCATATGAAACGTACGCATGTAATCGAGGCCAGGACAATGTATCTTTACCATCAATTGTATGCCGAACACGTTGTCGAGCTGATTGAATACAATCACCCAATGATATAACAGTAGAAATAGAAGTACTGGTAGATAATTCAATACATTCAGTTTCTTTGACGAATGGATCCAATAAAAAACTTAAAAATAAATTCAATTCAGAATTTGTACATTGTGCTAGATTAGTGAATACAGCTGATGTGAATTGACCTTTTGATAGCTGTAATCGACCGTATAATATACTGGAAAAAATTAAGAGGGAATGCATAAGCTTTCCTTAGTTTACTGTTTATGAAAGAAATTTTTGAATTTAGTGAAACATTCCATTAGATATAAATACTTCAAAAAATAAGTGACAGAGTGAACGTTTATCAGATCTCTGTTGAGACCGAGGGAATACCGTAAAAATGATAGCCCACGAAACTACCTCATGAACTATTATTGTTTAGGATTTGTTCTTAGTGTATAATAATCAAACAACTGGACTATTATGTTCTTATATTCTGTTTTTCATAAACTCCCATTTACCCTTAAATAGGACCGACGTTATGGGGAGAGTCTATTTCCCACTCGAAGCGTTCGTACATGGCCTCGTGTATATAGTTATTACTAGGGAAGTCCTACTCACGATGAAGGAGTTGCCTAAGAAATTAAGACAAAAGGAGAATTTCCGACGCTTAAAGCGGGTTGATAGATACGGATGGTCCACCAAAGGTAATTGGAAGACTCTGATTTCGAATCAATGGTCCACATGGGCTGCTGAGGAAATAAATGGAGTTTGAACCTATTCTTGATCAATAGCTACCAAAGAGCCCCATCTCCTACCGTTGCTCCACTGCTTTGTAAATTAGATCTAGAGGTCATAGGCTCGGGCAGTGCCTTTCCGAAAAAATCTCCAGTTTCAGTTTGGTCACGAACAGCATTCCAGCCGTTACACAAATTGAATGATAACTACTTAGTGTGGTATATATTTATACTCGTATCCATCTGTACCAATGTTTACATGTTTAAGTGATAATAGTAATAGTAAAAATAATAAGATTCCGTTTGACCAATTAGCCAGTAATATTCACTGTTGTGAAAGTATCCTCTAATAAGAATTGCAGCTTTGATTCACTTTTCAATATCTAATCAGTTTAAGTTCACAGATACAACATTTTGATTAAAATATTCCAATATGAAGGGTTGAATGATTCTACAATATAGTTTCCCAAAAGAATATCTCTTTAACATAACAAACAATCTAAGTAACGATAACGATGACTACATGGAGGGATAAAATATATGGAATATAGAGTAGGTCTCGGACATATATATTTCATTAATAGAAGGGGTTTCAGTGGAGACTTAGCATTTTCATATTTGAAAGCGTGAGTCAAATGAAGCTAGACCACCAGGGGAAAACCTGGAAGCACCGCGGGAGGCAAGGTCGTGGGGGCGCACTGCCACTGAGGAGACCCACAATAGGACGAAACAGCCGTCCAGTGCTTCCAGGTTTTCCATGGTGGTCTAGCTTCAATTAACTCACGATTTCAACTATGAAAATATATATTTCAGTTTGAGTAGTTGACTATGTACACTAATATTACAAACATACAAATTGTATGACTAAATACTAACTACGTATATCTAGGCATGATCAATAAGTTAAGTGATTTTATGCATATTTTTACATTATATATATATATATATATATAGTGTAATTGAGAAAATTACCGCAAAAATACTCCACCAATGTATTCACGATGTTCCGAAGAGAACAATGATGTATCCAGTCGAAATGTACGCACTGCATCACGAAATGTTTGTGGATTAATAATCTTCTCTATTTCTTCTCTGAAGGATAAAACATTGTCATAAAAATTGGAATTATGATGTATACAATTTGTGTATAAATTATCATACGCAAGTTAATGTTTATTTAAAGAAAGGTAGTTATTTAGTGTAACCCCATCTCTTCTAGGGTTACTGTCAGTCGTAAGCCCGGACAAAGAAGGAGGGATGGACATGTAGCCGGTGAGCCCATCGCGTAGAAAACAACCTTGCTAGAAAAAACGCCAACCATAGTAAACAAATTAAACCATTTACATTCTGTCCTGGGAGTTGAGAGATCTTCAGTCAGAAGAGTTAGGAAGCCTAATGGTGAAATCCGAGATTTTTCGGAATTCACGGGGTCGACGTACTTTCTAACAAGTATGTTGGTTAGTGTACGTCGCTATCGATGGATAACTGTTCCACAGTTGACATGGCTGAACTACACCAGCTACGGTTTTCCACTAAAAATCCAAGAGTTTCCTCTTAAAGCTGGTCACTAATGTACACTAGGATTATTATCAGTGTACAAGGGTAAGGTTGTGGAATTTGTCGTATTTTCATAATTAACGTCATGAAATGATATTAGTTGAATCGTCGAATCACTTGTCAAATCCATTTGCATTTTACAAATCCCAGTTCTTGTGAAACAGGTCGGTTGCTTTTTTTATTGGGTAAATATGAATTTATGTATACACCATTGGAGGAGAAGTAACACATAGATCAGCACTAAGGACTTGACACGCATGACATTGATCACCATCCAGTGATCAATCGATTGTGATTACATCTCAGTCGTACAGGAAGTCGGTCGCGACCCGAATAGCTCAGTGGTAACGTCTCTGACTGTAAAGCTGAGTGACACGGGATGGAATCCGTCAGGGAGCACCAGTTTCCTCAAGATAACAGGTACACCTTGCTGACGAGTGCCAGGTAGTACGAAACACGGGTCCAGGGTTTCCTGTTGACCACTTCCAACTACCATCTTATCTCAACATAGTGCACGCAGTGTCGAGCCACCTAGACTAGTGACCACATTGCAACTTGATCGATAGCATTCGATCAGCACTAAGAAAGACTTGACACACATGACATTGATCACCATCCAGTGATCAATCAATTGTGAGAAGTAACACATGCCAAATAAGTGGTTACTGTTCAGTCATTGAATTACTTCAACAGTTAATAACTGAAATATCAGATTGAATCATGACAAAAAATAGTAACATAACTAACTTACTTATAATTATTAATTGCCGATTGTTTATAAGCCAATAAACATTTGAATGCTGCATTTTGTATAGTGGGTTGTTTAAATTTTAACAACTTTTTATAGAAATTAAAAAAGAGAAATAATGTTGATGATAATAGGTGAGAAACAATTGATTACGTAATTAAAATGAAAATCAATGGATTTCTGAGAAGGATGGAATACTAACCGGATGCTTAAACTGAACCATGTGGTTTTCTTAGAGGGCCATATTCCGTATCTTTCACCTAGAGATCTTATCTATAAGGCAGTAGAGCAACGTTGGGACAGCAGTTTCATAGGAGTTTGTGATCAATAATAAGTTCATACGCCATTTATTCACTCAGAATCTTGGAGCATATGTGCAACGTTGGTTTGGAATCAGGGTTTTTTAACTCCTCAAGATGGATCCTCTGTATCTATCAACCCGGTTATAACTCAGGACATTAGCTTCTCCTTCTAGCAATTTAGTAAAGACACCCTCATTGCGAGAAGGCAGTGAGTAGGATGTCTCTGAGAGTGGCTGTCTACGCGTGAAAAAATGATGAACTGGTTCAATGTTGCATAAGTGAATGTATTTTTAGTATAAAGAAAAGAGTAGTCAACTAACTTTGAAAAACAGATTACTTGTCCCTGTCATCGCAATCAACGTAAAGCTTCGTGTACAAAAGAGCTTTCACACATATCGCGCTATGATATCAGTAAAATATGTATGATGGAGTTGTAAATAATGTAATAACAGTGATAATAAAAAACCATGTGAAGCATTGAAAATCTGGTTCTAGAAGAAAATGAATTGCGACACTGTCACAAACGTTAACACTGAGCCGTTCAAACCGTAACCGACCTCGCGTAGGACCGAGATGTATTTACAATCGACCGATTATTGAATAGTGACCAATACGAAGTATATTAAATACTTCTTAGTGCAGACTGTTACGTTGTGTGACACCAGGTCGAATCAAGGAGAAGACATCAGTTCCCTCAAGATTACAAGTTCAATTTGCTAATCAATCCCAAATAGCATGAAACCTAGGATAGTACATGAATTCCTTTAAACTATCTCCAACCACTACCTTACTTCTCAACAAAGAGTACACGATGCCAAATTATTTAGAGTAGTAGTGTCCACAAGGCAACATGATTGATGAATTTCGACCAGTTGTAAACATGTAGCATATACTCAGTTGATTAAAATTTACGAACGCATAAAACAATTTGTAATATTTTGCATCAAAGTGTTTATCTGATCAAGGTCTCACCTATACATAAAACGCACCCAAAATGCCCTGGTACGGTCGAGAGTGGGAAGAGTCCACTCTCCCTCTCCAAATGCTCTCACATGACCACGTGTATATAGCCTTTACCAGGAAAGTCCTACTCACTGCCTTCTCGTGGCACTACTGTTGTTCATGAAATTAAGAGGACGAAAAGCGAATGTCCAGCGCTTTAACCGGGTTGGTGTACACGGAGCGTCCACCTAGGTGAGTTGGAAAACCCTCATTCCAAAACATTGGTACATATGAGATCCAGGATGTTGATGGATCGAAAGGCGTTTGAACCTAATGTTGATGGCCGGTTACCATGGGACTGCATCTTCTTACGATGCTCCACTGCCTTGTGGACTAGACCCTTAGGTCAACACTGACTAATTAATTACTATTTGTAATATACAGTATTATCCAAACCTACTTACCTGGTAAATATTTTGTTTGAACTCTTTCTCCATATAAATTGATTTGATATTATTGAATTGAGAATACAAATTCAAGATAGTCAATAGAAGTCTATAAGGACAAAAAAAAGTTGTGAATTACTTAAAATAAGTTTTGTCTTAGTATGCAACTCTTCAGCAGTGTGCATACATGATCCTATAGCCGAGAATCCAATGCAAGACCTTCGGTTTTGTGGCGTGAACGTATGATCGCTGGACCAATGAATCGGAATCTAATGTTGGACAACTCTAATTTAACTTGTATTATTTAGTGATTTCAACAAAACTGAAAGATTTCTATAACTCTATATTGATAATCCGTTAGTTGTATTAAATTGCATAGAACTTTTTCGAGGTTGTTTTCCAGTTAATGAAGTATTCAACCATCTTTTTCAACAGTGATAACATATATGTCAGTGTGAAGATTCTTTTTCTGATACTTCACTGATGTGAAGAGCGAAACAAGAAGCCTTAACAAACTATGGAGGCTATTTTTTGGGGGTGTTATTTCATTTAATTCAAAGCTTGTAAAACAGTAACATTTACTTTTGTCCCTAGTCTATACTACAACTCATAATCTTTCGTTTGTTGTATGATTCATTACCATAGCCTTTTCTGTTCCAAAGCTATTGTAATTTAGACGCAACTTTTTGTACTTCATTTTCTATTCTAATCCCCCAGTTTTGGACATAATTGTATTTTCCTAATTATTGTACGTTGTGGTCAGGTTATTCATTTATTTATTCATGTATCTTTTTACACTAATCTGAATTCGGGTACCAGATAGGATTTTGAAATAAAGCGAGTAGTTTTCCGGTTGCCTTGTCTTCTCGCGCGTGCTCGTCGAGCAATCAGGGGTGGAATAGTTTTCGTCTCTCTACCCCCACTTCGAAATCACGCATGCTAACCTCAAGGTCAGGGCCAGTCAGCATATAGCGTCAAGGTCTTAATCTACATTAGACAAGTTATCCTCCGTACGTAAAAGGGTAGACAGATCAAGGATGTAAAACTCATTCCATTCGATTGACTCCTATATCAAACACGACTTAAACAGAAACGTAAATATCTTCTAGGGAAAATAACAAATTAGTTTCAAGCAACAACAAAAAATGCCAGTGTACACAAACTTCACACAAGAACATTGCGTAATCTTTTCAACACATTCACTTGTGCTGAATCAACTGAAAATGAACTGACTGGTGTGCTCTAAAATGATCTTGTCGAAATTAGACTTCGGTCAAGTTTCTGTACTGTCAACAGATAATGACCAATCTACAAGTTATTTCATACTTTTTTTAAAAACTATCTACATGATAGTCGTACAAGTTCTAGCTATGAATAGTTGAATAGTCAATATATGAAAACATGGTCATATTTCTCAAATACGTTTGACATTCTCAAGACTAAATCTGATTTGAAAGATCCTCAGTAAACAAAAATAAAACAGATATCAGTATTAGCCTCAATAATACTTTGACGTCTAACTAAGGATCTGAATGAGTAAACCTATGAGGTGTGGCAACTTGGGTCGGTGCATATATGTGCTTATTCTACGTTGTAGCTGACTGATTGAATAAGTTAACCCGAGAAAACCAGGCTGGTTACAGAACTCAACATGGATGTATAGACTAAATATTCACCTAACGGTAGGTCCAGCAAAATAAACATATTTCTCGACGTTCGACTATAGTTATGTCTTATGACAATAAGATGGTATTTGACTCTGTTGATCATGAAGTCCTGTGACAGTCTGTTATTTCTAAAATAAATACTGATTGGTCGAAGTAATTTTTTATAATTTCTTGGCAGTCAGTCGGTCACAACGAAGAACGTCGTACGTATGTACATCAGTTCGAGTTGTCACACCACATTAGCACAGAGATGCACTTATCGATGCAAATCCCAAAGTGGTAGAAGTAGTAAGAGTATAAGCAGTCATCAGAAAGACTAGGGTTTCAAGATGTTATTCAAGGTGAATAATCCAGTGAAATAAATTTGAAAAGAGAAAAAAGAAAGGTACATGTAGTATTCAGAAGATTAGAATTTGGTAGAACACAAAGAGTGGATGCACCTTCGCCATTGCAAACGATATTGAGCCATGTCATTCAAGGTCTCTAACCATCGGTTGCTATCATCTCGCGAATCCCAACCAGTTAGTCTATACCTCCCAGCATGGCTCAGTCCAATTGTCAGTGAATTCATGGATTTGTGCCACGTTTCGTTCTGGCCGCCCCCAGCTTTCTTCCAACCTACTGTTACGCCGTAAAACATTGCACGTCGGGGCAGTCGGTGGTTGGGCATACGTAACACGTGTCCCATCCATCTCAACTGATGAAGTTTCATTACTTCATCAATCGATTCGCCATCCATACCCAGTACCGGTTTCCTAACAAACTGCATTACTTACCCGGTGGTCCCAGGATATTCGAGCAATGCTTCGAAGACAAATGGCAAATGAAGACTCTATAAAGATATTTCTGAGTACTTTCTATTTTATGTCCTTAAATTAAATACTCAACAGTATTTCAAGTAATATCCGTCGTTTTTACTGCGGAAACCCAATTCGTAATTAATAATAATAATAAAGACCAATACTCACTGTTCCGTTGACTTATTCAAGCCAGATTGAATTGCAGAACTACAAAAAAAAACACAGAAAGAAGGTGCTTTTGTAGTTTCATTCACTATTTAATACTTCTTATTGATGTAAGTTATCGTAACGTGTAAAACAGGAATACCTATTAATCTATGGAATTATTTCCATGGGGAATTTGATGTGACGAAATAAAAGTGAAAATTTTTTTTTTGACTTATTTTGGAGTCCGTGTTATGAAGTCACAAATCAGGAAATTAGTTTGCATTGTGGTCTAATTTGAGTATTGAGTTTTTCACCTAGATTGTCCAGAAGTGACGATCTTCTGTGAATTAATAACACAATGATATAAAGAAAACATCCAGACGTGAACACTTGACGATTATTGAAAAAAAAACTTTGGATTTATAGAGATTTAATGAATCTAAAAGGCGCTAAAGATTGTCAAGGTAAGAGTATATAATAGGGGCCGGATAATCAGAATGAGGGATGTGCCTTTAAAGCTTTTGCAGGAAATTCAAATATCATTTATTATGAGGAATAGAACTTTAGTGTGCTGTTTAAAACGACAATGAAAGCCTACTGATTGTCATTCAGGAGTTAAAACGATAGTGTTAAACATGAACGAACTGATCACAAAGTGCATCTTGCATTTTAGCTCAAAATGTATTCACTTATAGGGCTATCCAGCCCATCTGCATTACAGCTTTATTTTATTTTATTTAAGCACATAAATATTGGTACAAAGAAGCACCAGATACATATGCGCCGCACAAATCTCATTTGGTTTGTTTGAGGACTGTGATACTGACCGCATGCCCAAACCAAAGCAGGTGGTTTTCTTACAAGGCCACACCCGTAGCCTTTGACCTAAAGGTCTGATCCACAAGGCAGTGGGACAACGCGGGGAGATCAAGTCCCATGGTAGCCGGTGACCAACGATTGATTCACACGCCATTTGTTCCATCACGATACTGGAGCCAGCCCACGTGCATCATTTGTTTGGAATGAGGGTTTTGAAACTCCCCTAGGTGGACTTTCCGTGTCCACCGACCCGGTTAAATAGCCAGACATTGGCTTTTCGTCCTCTCAATTTCGTAAAGAACACCCCCGCCACGAGAAAGCAATGAGTTAGACTTCCCTGGCAGAGGCTATATACGTGTGGCTATGTGAGAGCATTTCGAGAGGTAGAGCGTACTCTCTCCACTCTCGGCCGTACCAAGGATTTGGGGGCTACAGCTGATGACACCTCTAAACCTCTAGTTCTTATTTATATCAAGAACATTGTTCGACTTCTAGGTCTGTATATAGGTTTAGCAAAGTAAACAAACTACACAATCAAAATGAGAAAAAAATTGATGACTTCCACCTTACTTGATTATATTCAATAATAATGGTGTAAGAAAATGGGTATATTTTGCTGCGGTTTTCCAACGTAAACATTGCCATAAACATAATCGATAAGATAACCAATCTGGTCGTTTACGTGATTCAATAATTAACCAATCATTATTCGGTGTTTTTCTTTGTAAACTATATAAATCTGGACGAATTGATGTAAACCATATAATTGCAGTTTCATATGAACAAGTATAGAGATTGGTTTCGTTAGAATTCGAAATATTCTGTATATCTAAAATGAATTATAAACAGCAAATTAAATAGGGATACAATAATTTGATTTTCTTAGGGACGCCACACCTGGAGCATTTGACATAAAGGTCTAATACACAAGACAGTGGAGCAACGTGAGGAGATGCAGTCCCATGGTAGCCAGTGACCAAAGATTGATTCATACGCCATTTGTTCTTTCAGGATACTGGAGCCTATGTGCACCATTGGTTTGGAATTAGGGTTTTCCAACTCCGCTAGGTGGACCCTCCGTGGACTTTACATACTAACCAGTAGTCACGTAATCAAAATAGAAATTGAGCGATAGGATTATGTATGCAACAAGAAATACTTGACATACATACCAGTCACCAAACAATTGTAGTTATATTTCATTCCTACAGGGAACCAGTAGCGAGATAAATAGCTAAATGGTAATACTTCTGACTTTGAAGCTGTGTGACACAGGATCGAATCAGCCAGGTAGCATCATTATTCTCGAGAATATAGATTCATCACACTGACATGTCCCAAACAGCACGAAACCTGAGTCAAGCAGGGTATTATCCTTCTAACCCATCACTATACATGACAATGAATGGAAACTATGATAAACAATTGTTGACGACGGTAATCATATATTATAAAACATCATGATTAGTCTATCAGTCAGTCAATTATAAATAAAAATTTAAGCTTGATCACCATTGAGAACCTGGAAGCACTAGACGGTCGTTTCGTTCTAGCATGGAATTCCTCGACAGTGCACATCTACGATCTCTCACGCGGGAATTGAAACCAGTACCTTCGGCCTCCCATGCAAATGCTTAACCTCTAGAGCAATGGGCCGGCGGTATCCAACGGTGTTAACATCTAACCTCAACTGTTTGTGCGTTTTGATTGTGTTACTCATCTACTTATTCTTCTATCTTTTTACACTAATCGAAATTAGGAATAAATCGAGTAGTGTTCCAGTTAATTCGTCTTCTTTCCTTTTCGCTACTTAACTAATTAGATGAAAGAAAAGTTTTCATTACTCAATTCAAGGCGGTTACTCTTAATTCGAACTGACACAATTTACTAGCCCCAAGTGTAAACCTATCATATCAAAGCCTTAATCTAGATCGGAACAAGTTCTCTCCAGTTGGTTGGAAGAAAGCTAAGGGCGGCCAAACCAAAACGTGGCATCAGTCCACATAGTCACTAACTTCTAGTTTGAGCCATGTTGGTAGATGCAGACTAGTTGGTTAGGGTTTAGGTGACTATCGTAACCAATGGTTGGAGAATCTAGGTGACATGGCTCACAATCGATCACAATGGCGCAGGTGTAAACGCACTTTATCTTCCCTTAAACCTTGAAATTAAAATTACTTCATATCTTTCTTCCTGTACTATATCTATATCTGTACAATCTTTCTTTTATATGTTACCACCACTAAATTAACTACTATGAATTCGGTGTCTATCTTGTTGTGCTAACGAGGTATGGCAACTTGGACTGATGCATATATGTACCTGGTCCTACGTTGTAGCTGACTGACTGACTGTCCAGTATATTATTGGATAAACAGATTAAAGACGTAACCAGGTAACTTAACAATTTACGTAGAATATCCAAAAGATAATAATGAATGGGGAAAATTTGATTGATTGATACATGGATACTAACCTTTATTATTGCTATCACTAATTTTTCTTTCCACATCCATTAATAATGGTTGAAATTTATTCCAAAATAGATTTCTACATTCAATACTCCAATTTTTCTCTTTCATTTCTAATTCATTCGATGTAGTCGTCTCATGTTTAGTCGATTTGCTTTTTAACAGTGAATTGAAATCACAATAACTTGCAATAGCCTCATATACTGGTGACCAAATAGCGGTGAATTGAACATGAAGTAAACCGAATAAATAATGAATAGCAATCTGTATGGAGATAATGAACAACATATATGTATATAAGTAATTATGGGCTAATACACAATATTTTTTATATATAGTTGAAATCATGGGTTAATTGAAGCTAGATCGCCATGGAAAACCTGGATGGCTGTTTCGTCCTATTGTGGGACTCCTCAGTGGCAGTGCGCATCCACGATCCCGCCTCTCTGAGATTCGAACCCAGGACCTATCGGTCTTGTATATATTGTTTGATCTATAGTGTTGATCGAATTTTACAAACAAAGTGGCAATATACGGTAAACAATTGGTTGAATGGTTTGATATAACTCTTAGTTTAAATGTTAAAGAGTTGAAAGTATTCGATAGAAAGTCATGAATTTAAGGTTCACGCTTAGAAGTACAGCTCTTTAATAATTTATATTTGTAATATTTAAAGAATTGATGTTGTTTTTAGATGAGATATCAACATGAGTTAACCAATATTGCTTCGTGGCGGGGGTGTTTTTTACGAAATTGAACGGACGAAAAGTGAATGTCTGACGACTTAACCGGATTAGTGAACACGGAAAGTCTACCTGGGGGAGTTGAAAAACGCTGATTCCAAACCAATGGTGCACATGGGCTCCAGTATTCTGAGGGATCAACTGGAGTATGAATCAATCGTCGTTCACTGGCTACCATGGGACTGCATCTCCTCATGATGATGCACTGCCTTGTGGATCAGACTTTTAAGTCAAAGGCTACGGGTGTGGCCCCCTAAGAAAACTACCTGCTTCAGTTTCGTCACCTAGACAACATCACAGCCCTTACACAAATCAAATGAGAATAGTGTGACGCGTATGTATCTGGTGCCGTTTTGTACCCATATTTACGTGTTTAAATAAATAATAATTAAAAAAACCTAATGTTGCCCAGTCAGAGATCTCACAACTGGGTTGATTGTAGAATAAAATATATTGCCTTGAAGGGTGACGAATATGTTCCAGAACAAATACAAGATTCATAGATTTCTTTTAGATGGCTTACCTTATGAAGAGCTCTAGATTGAATAGATACACTTATTAGCCCTGACATACACAACAACTTTTTATGTATTTATCACAAAATGGCTTCATGAGTCTGCTTAAATTCAATTCTGTTTCATATCGAACATCATTCATCATTATTGTATGGATGTATTGGGGTAGCGAGAATAACCATTCTTTACCAAGTTCGAAAAATTACAGAATCTGTTGAATGTTGACTCTTCATTAAACGTTTAGGAAACTACGTTTTTGCTTGGTTTTAGAACAAAGAAACAGAGGGTAAACCGAACAGATTTCACATCATTAAGTATGTTATCTCTCATTTCAATAATCATCTTTTTTCATCACTCTCCTTTTTGATATTCGCCATTTACTTCGCATCCATATTACAGTGAACTATTTGCAGATAATGAAACACCGTGAAATAGAACGAATTTATTTTATTCTACAAACTTTGGTGTTCTTGCACCGCCATGCATGCCGTAAGCATGCTTACCCTAACTAATGGATCCTTTTCTTATTCGTGTTCTTTTCCATTCACCTTTTACATAATCACCCTTTTGAATGAATACCGCTGAAAACGGCCTAAATTTACAAGGGCTAATGTAATCGTAAACAAATATTTGACATACTTTGGTCAGTCCAGTTTAGTTAAATATTCAAATTAGAGTATATAACTGCTCATCAATCTTAGCTATCTGCACAGTATGTCTGCTTTATTTTATTTAAACACATTAATATTGATACAAGGGGATACCAAAAATATATACGCTATACTTCGTCATTCGATTTGTGTGAGGGATGGAATACTTCCCGGGCAAACAAACCGAAGCAGATGGTTTTCTTAAGAAGACACTCTTTTAGAATTTCATCTACAGGTCTCATCCAAAACGCAATGGCAAATCGTTAGGAGATGCAGTTCCATGGAAGTAGGTGATCAACAGTAGGTTCATTTGCCATTTGTTCACTCAGGGTATTGGGGACCATGTGTAACATTGGTTTGGAATCATGGTTTTTCAACTATACTACTATATACAACAACCCGGTTAAAGCACAGGACATTCGCTTTTCGTCCCTACCATTACGTAAAAACACCCTCGAGGCGAGAAGGTAGTGAGTAGGATTTTTCTTGATAGTGGGGGTATCCGCGTGGTCGTGTGAGAGAATTTTAACAGAAATAGGTGACTCTATTCACCCTCGACCGTACGAGGAGGAAATTCGCCAAAAGAGATTGGTCAAACCTAGTCCTTGCAAATAAATTATTCCTAATTTTTGTTCAATAATATATATTTTGTATCTTGTTGTTTTTTCTTATAAATTTTAGTTCCATTTCAAACAAACTTCACTAAATTATTTTTAATGTGGATTTATACTTACATAAGTCTTTACAATTTTAAACTGTTTACAATTGGTAAGGCGCTAAGAAACCAAAATAAACAAATTCAAACAAACAATACTAAGTAAATTTCAACTTCATCCAATTGCACAAGCAAGTGGCTATCAGGACTCAGTGGTCGAGCAGATAACGCGATGGTGTTTGAAGCGAAAGGTACTGCATAGTCGAGTCCCAGAGTGAACACTAACTTTGAGATGCAGGTACATCCAGCTGACGAGTCCCAGATAGGACGAAACGTGCGTCAAAATGGATTCCATTGCTAGCCACTATCCATCTCTGCTTACCATGCTTGTGAATTAAGGCTATATTGAGGCAATACGCACAGTATGCACATATGTCAATTACAGACTGACCAGTTGCAGTCCTAACAAATCGATGGGAAGATTCAAACAAACAATACTAAGTGAATTCAAAATAAATTTGTTTATTTTCTCTTGTACTGTTAAAATGGATATTATTTCATACTGTTAGCAACTGTTTTATAGCAAAGTTTTTTCTACTGGCTGGGGATGATGACCCCACCCCCAAATCTCCTCCTTTGCCCGGGGCTTAAAACTGGCAGAAATACTAGAAGAGCTACATGCGGAAACAGCATAGTTGAATGGAGACTGTTATCTGGCGGCCTATGCTCCTCCACAAGAAGTAACAGGAGTAAGTAATTCAATACTGGAAACAATTTTCAAATGAATCAATAATACATATATATATATATAACTAACCTCAGCTGCTTGTCTACAATATTTTACATCACGATCAGCATGTAATTGTAGTATATGCATTAGAAAATCACGTACAGTTTGATGTCCAAGTTGTATTTTTTCAGCTTTTAAACATCTTCCAATAATAATCTGTACAGTAGAATTAGATTGTTCATCGTGTTGATCATCGTTATTACAATCCGTGAAATTGATTAAATCACCATTCATTACAGAGAGAATTCTTAGAACATGTAATCTTATCTGAGTAAATAAGGATGAAAGAAAATTTGTTTTTAAGACTTTACAAGTAATACGATTATGTAAACATTGAAGAGTTTCTAGAACAAAAGATCCGTCGATAACGTCACTAAGAGATCAAAATAATGCAAGGAGTTTTAATCCATTCATGATTCAAATGAAAGTTTCTTTGAAATATGTAGGAAAATGAAAAATTATGTATTACACTGCTATCAGGGTTTCCATGGTGGTCTAGCTTTAATTGACTCATGATCTCAATTATATAAAATCTCCACAAAAACCTCTTCTGATAATGATCATATGCTCACTAGTGACTGGCTCCATGAGGTTTTTCCTGGAGTTCTAATGAGAAGTAGTAACCAGCGGAGTTCAAACGGGTATGTTGGGAGATATCAAGTCATTGAAGACATTGGTGAATGGTTGCCCAATTTCGTGGATTTGTTGAAGTTATACATTAACACCGTCGGATGCCCACTAGGTGGTCTATTGGTCAAGTGCTCTGGCGCGAGACTAGTAGGTCATGGGTTCGGATCTCGCGAGGCGGGATCGTTGATGCGCACCGTTGAGGAGTCCCACAATGGGACGAAACGACCGTCCAGTGCCTCTCGGTTTTCCATGGTGGTCTAGCTTTAATTGACTCATGATATCAAATACATAAGATTACCTATATCGTTGAGATATCAAACATGGTTCCAGAAATTTCCACAAGATCATGGTTACATGGATAACGTATTTAAACGGTTAATTTTAGATCGAAACTAGATTATAATTCTGGACAGCTGCATTATTCATTGACTTGGTAATTGAAAAACTTAAACTGCAACCATTCACGGCCTCTAATTTGAACCTAAATACACCTATACTTCTAAGAAGATATAATCTAAATAAAATCCATATACACTAAGTGTTGCACAAAATCCTATATAAGCACATGTAATTGCCTCATCTCAAACATTATATATGATATGAATATCGAGACGAGTGTTGCATATGCCTGACCAACGCCTATCTCGAAAGGCGACACTATCTGACGCAGGAGTAGGCTGTAATAACTCAGAGTCAGTCAAATCAAAACACGGTATCAGTTTATGAAGTCAGTGACAATTAGAAAGAACTATGTTAATAGATGAAGACTATCTGGTTGGTGTCTGTGTGATTATCATAGCCAATGGTTAAGAACTTTGAGTGGCATTGCCTTGAAATCATTTGTAATGACAAACGTGCATGTATTTATTATTATTATTTATTTAAACACATAAATATTGGTACAAGAAAGCACCAGATATATATGCGCCACACAAATCTCATTTGATTTTTGTAAGGGCTGTGATAGTGCCTAGGTGTCACAAATGAAACAGGTGGTTTTCTTAGGGGGCCACACCTAGAGCCTTTGACCTCATGATCTGATCCACAAAGCAGTGGATCATTGTGAACAGATACAGTCCGATGGTAGTCGGTGACCAACGATTCATTCATACGCCATTCGTTTCCTCAGGATAGTGGAGACCATGTTCACCATTGGTTTGGAATCGGGGTTTTCCAACTCCCCTAAGTGAACATCCCGTGTCCACCAACCCGTTTAAATCGTCGGACATTCGCTTTTGGTCCGTTCAATTTCGTAAACAACGCTTCGCCACGAGAAGGCAGTGAGTAGAAAGAATACAATGGTGAGACTATAAATTACGGACAACCTTTAAGCAAAGCTAAGAAAACCTTGGAATGTTCACTTATTTACTGGAGTTAAATAAGCGTGATAGATTAATTTTAGGATCTAGGATGAAGATTTATAGTTGAACGTTAAAGCTAGGAGTTACATATGATGTTTTCATCACGAACTGACATCCGTTACAGTGTCAAAATGATATTTAATCAAATAAGTGAATGAATTTCAAGCTAAAATTGAAGACCTGCTATCTTAAATCTGATTGATTCATACATAAATTAAAGTCTCGTCGAAGCAATCACTCCTCTAAGAAACTGATCATTCACAACCATAGAAAAGCAGATAATCCTGAAACATGGATAGACTGCCATTCGAAAAAAGATCTTTTGATCAAATTAACTTTCCATGCGTAAATCACACATGATACAATCCCACTCATTGACTTCTCGTGGCGGTGGTGTTCTTTACGCAATTTACAGGACGAAAAGCGAATGTCCGGCGCTTTAATCGGGTTGGTGAACACGGAAGGTTCACCTAGAGGAGTTGTAAAACCATCATTCCAAACCAATGGTGTACATGGGCTTCAGGATCCTGATGGAACAAATGGAATACGAATCAATTGTTGGTCACCGGCTACCATGGGACTGCATCTCCTCACGATGCTCCACTGCCTAGTGGATCAGACCTTCAAGTCAAAAGCTCTGGGTGTGGTCAACTAAGAAGATCACCTGCTTCAGTTTGGGCACCCGGGAAAAATCACAAGCCTAACACAAATCAAATGAGATTTGTGCGGCGCATATGTATGTAGTGCTTCCTTGTACCAATGTTAAAATAATAATAATACTATCTCATAATGATAAGGAAGAATTGAGTGAACATACAAAAGACCCTATTACCTAAACTACATAGGATAATAATAAGAATCATATACAATGTAAACATTTACCTGATGACTATAAGAGATTAGCAATGGTAACAACTCTCCATGGAGAACATCTCGATGATTGAATAGATATTGTTTATAATCATTATTAGAAATCAATATATGGATGAGTATATCAATAATACGTAAGATTATGCAACAATATTCTGGATATAAATAATGATAGGAACTGAAAAGGAAAGAAATATTTTTAACAAAACACATCAGAGAAGATATTCAAGAAAGATAGAAAAATCAGCACCGAAAATTTGGTGCTTCACAAAATCAACACATACTGTAGAATCAATATCTGATATGACAGCAGTTCAAAGTTGAAAAAAGTCATTAGATCGACAAGTACGCAAAGAAAATGGGATGAAAATTGTCCGTAAGTAAAGGAAAAACAACACACTGACAACATGTCAACCCTCAATGATGGACTGCCACTGTCACAGGCAGTAAGAGGCAAGGGTAACAATCAATATTGCAGCAATCTAATTCCGATAGACAATTACATCTACCCGAGAGTGCAGCTGCCTTAAAAGTCCGTACACACAAATCAACACAATCACACATCCACCAAATTCAGTACACTAACAATCTATATCGCTGAGCTCCAACCCGAATACAGAGATTACACTCTGTCGGTGTGATACACAGCTCTAACTTTATGCCCATTACACAATCTATTATGGGCAACAACTAACATAACTACCAACAACATCAACTGGCCACATCCATTCAACCACAATCATTAACAATTCACTAACACTCTACTTCATCATCATCAACATCATCATCACCACCACCACAACAACAACAACAACACACACGTTAGTAACATAAACACACAACACAATCAACAATACTATACTCACAAATGCATAATCCACGAATCCTATATTTAACATGAATAACAACACACTGACAACATGTCAACCCTCAATGATGGACTGCCACTGTCACAGGCAGTAAGAGGCAAGGGTAACAATCAATATTGCAGCAATCTAATTCCGATAGACAATTACATCTACCCGAGAGTGCAGCTGCCTTAAAAGTCCGTGCACACAAATCAACACAATCACACATCCACCAAATTCAGTACACTAACAATCTATATCGCTGAGCTCCAACCCGAATACAGAGATTACACTCTGTCGGTGTGATACACAGCTCTAACTTTATGCCCATTACACAATCTATTATGGGCAACAACTAACATAACTACCAACAACATCAACTGGCCACATCCATTCAACCACAATCATTAACAATTCACTAACACTCTACTTCATCATCATCAACATCATCACCACCACCACCACAACAACAACAACAACAACACACACGTTAGTAACATAAACACACAACACAATCAACAATACTATACTCACAAATGCATAATCCACGAATCCTATATTTAACATGAATAACAACACACTGACAACATGTCAACCCTCAATGATGGACTGCCACTGTCACAGGCAGTAAGAGGCAAGGGTAACAATCAATATTGCAGCAATCTAATTCCGATAGACAATTACATCTACCCGAGAGTGCAGCTGCCTTAAAAGTCCGTACACACAAATCAACACAATCACACATCCACCAAATTCAGTACACTAACAATCTATATCGCTGAGCTCCAACCCGAATACAGAGATTACACTCTGTCGGTGTGATACACAGCTCTAACTTTATGCCCATTACACAATCTATTATGGGCAACAACTAACATAACTACCAACAACATCAACTGGCCACATCCATTCAACCACAATCATTAACAATTCACTAACACTCTACTTCATCATCATCAACATCATCATCACCACCACCACCACCACAACAACAACAACACACACGTTAGTAACATAAACACACAACACAATCAACAATACTATACTCACAAATGCATAATCCACGAATCCTATATTTAACATGAATAACAACACACTGACAACATGTCAACCCTCAATGATGGACTGCCACTGTCACAGGCCGTAAGAGGCAAGGGTAACAATCAATATTGCAGCAATCTAATTCCGATAGACAATTACATCTACCCGAGAGTGCAGCTGCCTTAAAAGTCCGTACACACAAATCAACACAATCACACATCCACAAAATTCAGTACACTAACAATCTATATCGCTGAGCTCCAACCCGAATACAGAGATTACACTCTGTCGGTGTGATACACAGCTCTAACTTTATGCCCATTACACAATCTATTATGGGCAACAACTAACATAACTACCAACAACATCAACTGGCCACATCCATTCAACCACAATCATTAACAATTCACTAACACTCTACTTCATCATCATCAACATCATCATCACCACCACCACAACAACAACAACAACACACACGTTAGTAACATAAACACACAACACAATCAACAATACTATACTCACAAATGCATAATCCACGAATCCTATATTTAACATGAATAACAACACACTGACAACATGTCAACCCTCAATGATGGACTGCCACTGTCACAGGCAGTAAGAGGCAAGGGTAACAATCAATATTGCAGCAATCTAATTCCGATAGACAATTACATCTACCCGAGAGTGCAGCTGCCTTAAAAGTCCGTGCACACAAATCAACACAATCACACATCCACCAAATTCAGTACACTAACAATCTATATCGCTGAGCTCCAACCCGAATACAGAGATTACACTCTGTCGGTGTGATACACAGCTCTAACTTTATGCCCATTACACAATCTATTATGGGCAACAACTAACATAACTACCAACAACATCAACTGGCCACATCCATTCAACCACAATCATTAACAATTCACTAACACTCTACTTCATCATCATCAACATCATCATCACCACCACCACCACAACAACAACAACAACACACACGTTAGTAACATAAACACACAACACAATCAACAATACTATACTCACAAATGCATAATCCACGAATCCTATATTTAACATGAATAACAACACACTGACAACATGTCAACCCTCAATGATGGACTGCCACTGTCACAGGCAGTAAGAGGCAAGGGTAACAATCAATATTGCAGCAATCTAATTCCGATAGACAATTACATCTACCCGAGAGTGCAGCTGCCTTAAAAGTCCGTACACACAAATCAACACAATCACACATCCACAAAATTCAGTACACTAACAATCTATATCGCTGAGCTCCAACCCGAATACAGAGATTACACTCTGTCGGTGTGATACACAGCTCTAACTTTATGCCCATTACACAATCTATTATGGGCAACAACTAACATAACTACCAACAACATCAACTGGCCACATCCATTCAACCACAATCATTAACAATTCACTAACACTCTACTTCATCATCATCAACATCATCATCACCACCACCACAACAACAACAACAACACACACGTTAGTAACATAAACACACAACACAATCAACAATACTATACTCACAAATGCATAATCCACGAATCCTATATTTAACATGAATAACAACACACTGACAACATGTCAACCCTCAATGATGGACTGCCACTGTCACAGGCAGTAAGAGGCAAGGGTAACAATCAATATTGCAGCAATCTAATTCCGATAGACAATTACATCTACCCGAGAGTGCAGCTGCCTTAAAAGTCCGTACACACAAATCAACACAATCACACATCCACCAAATTCAGTACACTAACAATCTATATCGCTGAGCTCCAACCCGAATACAGAGATTACACTCTGTCGGTGTGATACACAGCTCTAACTTTATGCCCATTACACAATCTATTATGGGCAACAACTAACATAACTACCAACAACATCAACTGGCCACATCCATTCAACCACAATCATTAACAATTCACTAACACTCTACTTCATCATCATCAACATCATCACCACCACCACCACAACAACAACAATAACACACACGTTAGTAACATAAACACACAACACAATCAACAATACTATACTCACAAATGCATAATCCACGAATCCTATATTTAACATGAATAACAACACACTGACAACATGTCAACCCTCAATGATGGACTGCCACTGTCACAGGCAGTAAGAGGCAAGGGTAACAATCAATATTGCAGCAATCTAATTCCGATAGACAATTACATCTACCCGAGAGTGCAGCTGCCTTAAAAGTCCGTACACACAAATCAACACAATCACACATCCACCAAATTCAGTACACTAACAATCTATATCGCTGAGCTCCAACCCGAATACAGAGATTACACTCTGTCGGTGTGATACACAGCTCTAACTTTATGCCCATTACACAATCTATTATGGGCAACAACTAACATAACTACCAACAACATCAACTGGCCACATCCATTCAACCACAATCATTAACAATTCACTAACACTCTACTTCATCATCATCAACATCATCATCACCACCACCACCACAACAACAACAACAACACACACGTTAGTAACATAAACACACAACACAATCAACAATACTATACTCACAAGTGCATAATCCACGAATCCTATATTTAACATGAATAACAACACACTGACAACATGTCAACCCTCAATGATGGACTGCCACTGTCACAGGCAGTAAGAGGCAAGGGTAACAATCAATATTGCAGCAATCTAATTCCGATAGACAATTACATCTACCCGAGAGTGCAGCTGCCTTAAAAGTCCGTACACACAAATCAACACAATCACACATCCACCAAATTCAGTACACTAACAATCTATATCGCTGAGCTCCAACCCGAATACAGAGATTACACTCTGTCGGTGTGATACACAGCTCTAACTTTATGCCCATTACACAATCTATTATGGGCAATAATTCAAAGAAATTCCACCAAAAACACTGGATATATTAATTGAACCGCAATCAGAAGTATAGTTTTCTGCACACTCCCTGTTTGATCGTCACATACATGTGATGTGTAATACTTATGTAGGAGAATGCTTGCGAAAGTGAGGCATTTTGTACACTTGGATTCGTTGATATGTTCGAGAAGTACTTCACCGTCAGGTCGTTATGAGTATATATATTTCAAGTGTTCAGTCTATATGAATTATGTACGGGGAATTACTCACGTGGCTAATAAAATAAGTTTTTCCAATGATAATTCATTAGGAGATATATGAAAATATTCATTATAAGTATTGGTGCGGAATTTGAGTTTCTGTACAGCTTGTACGATTGCCATTATTTGGAATAATCGCTCTTTATCTTCTGTGGTTATATTGTTCTCTATTACAAAAGAAGAATAGTACAGGGAAAACTGTTCGATTAATTCTGAGGAAAGATGTTTCATAATGAGAAATAGTTGTTACATTATGAAATATGATTTTGAGTTTTTAAAACCTGATATCTTCGAAGAGTCGTTTTGTTCTAGTATGAGACTCCTGGACAGTGCACATCCACGAATCCAACTAATTACATTTAATCTAGCTGCAACGATTTGCAAGTCTACTTTTACTCAGCTTACAATATTGTGCAGACATCTTTCACTGTTTTAAGTGGGTATTATCCTTACACCCGTCATAGTTGCATTGAACCATTGATGGTATTGAGATTTAACTTAGACATATGATCAATACTAACTAGTCGTAAGCCAATGTACAACAACTTACATCAGTGCTTACAGACTAAATCTTGAACGTTCTAATCGAATGATTCAACATGTAATAGGACTGTAACAAAAGACGAAATCAGTACGGATGAGGAACACAAACACAGTATAAAAAAGAATTTGGAAAAGGCCAATCGCACATAGGTTTTCAAAAGAATCAGACGCCATCTAAGCTTTTCACAATCTAAACAGTAAAGTTTAATTGTGTCACAACAACATAACTGTCAGGAACCCTGGAGGATTGGAAAAACTAGTTATGTGTCACCTAGTGACAGTATCCATAGAGGTAAAAAAAATTAAGACAGAAAATATGACCAGATAGTAACAACGTAGAACTTCGTACGTACGTATATCAGTTCAAGTTGCGATAATTTCAACATTTATTATTTGAAGGTAGATAAAAAGTGAATGTATTTGCGCCATCAAGACTTACTCTGAGTCATGTCCTCAAACATAACCAACCACTGGTCAAATAATTGCGCAAGCACCAACAAGATAACCTACGCCTACCAGCATATATCAAACCAACAGTTATTCACTTCATAGACACAAGATATGTCTTATTTTAACAACTCTCTTCAAACTAACTACTACAGCAGCCGAAAACCTCCGTCGAGGAAGACGATATCTGAACACACGTAATAAATATCCTAGACACCTCAGTCGATCAAGACATACTCTTTGCCATCAACCTGTCTCAGATAATCATTGCTCATTTCAAAGTTTACAAGAGTGTGTTAGCGTAATAGATATCGCCGCTGTTTCCACAGCTATCCGTATATCTTTCCAAGTAACATTCAGGTCAGCGCATTGGACAAGTCTTGATAGTCTGTTTTCAGTTCAGTGTATTTTACGCATAAAGTTTTAGCAGTTTTCTCCACCATGTATCAGTGAAGACATGATGTACAAAGAAGGAGTATGATATGTTGGACTTGATACGGACTAGAATATTATACAGCTTGATATTTTGAAATATTATGAGACATAGATTAATATATAAATCAATGATCTCATTATAGTTCTATATTTCTTTAAGTGTAAGGTAAAAATTCGACTTGAATGAAATCTTTCCAGATGATGTTCTTATTTCGACGACATCTCCTTTACTATCATAATAGTTAATACGATCAAAATACTTCAGGAAGGCCAACCAGAAACACTAACAGGCATATGCATTTCTTAGATACTTTCAATAAACGGAAACATTTAGATCACCAACATACATAAATAAAAAGAAAGAATATAAGATATAATTCTAACCTGAACTGAACTCAATTGAACAATATAGATCATTTACAAGTGTTTTTAATGTATCAGCCAATAATTTTAAAATATTTTCCACCGGTAATGGTCTAGTGTAGGAGAGAAATAAAGGAAAATACACATACATCTTGGTAATTTTATACAGTTGAAATCATGAGTCAATTGAAGCTAGACCACCATGGAAAACCTGGAAGAACTGGAAGGACGATTCGTCCTATTGTGAGACTTCTCAGCAGTGCACATCCACGATTCCGCCTAGCTGAGATTTGAATCCAGGACCTATCAGTTTCGCGCGCGATCACTTAAACAATAGACCACCGAGCTGGCATACAACGGTGTTCATGTCTAACTTCAACCAATCCGCGAAATTGAGCAACCGTCCACCATTGTCTTCAGTGAGTTGATATCTTACAACAGACCTGGTTGAACTCCACTGGTTACTGCTTCTCATTAGAACTCCAGGAAATAACTCATGAAGCCAGTCACTAGTGAGCATATGATCATTATCAGGTGTGTTTTTTCTGGAGATTTTAGTAATTTTATATAGTTGAGATCATGAGTCAGTTGAAGCTAGACCGCCATGGAAAACCTGAAAGCATTGGACGGCCGACTCGTCTGAAAATTATCATTTACTCACTAGAGACTGGCTTCAAGAGATATTTCCTGAAGTTCTCATGAGAAGCAGTGATCAGTGGAGTTCAATCAAATCTGTTGTAAGATATCAACTCATTGAAGACAATGGTGGACGGTTGCTCAATTTCATTTCAAAAGATGTTAAACACTTAAAATACTTTTAACGTACAAAATAAAAAACTATGAAAAGTAAACAGTTAAATTTATTAACACTTTAGCCACTAAGTATTTTATTTATTTACTTGAACACATTAATATTGGTACAAAGGAGCACCAGATATATATACGCCACGCAAATCTCATTCGATTTGTATGAGGGCTGTGATACTGCCCAGATGCCCAAACCGAAACAGGTGGCTTTCTTAGAGAGCCACACCCGGAGCCTTTTACACAAAGTCCTGATCTACAAGGTAGTGGAGCACCGTGAAGAGATGCAGCCCCATGGTAGCCGGTGACCAACGACTGATTCATACGCCATTTGTTCCTTCAGGATACTGAAGTCAATGTGCACCATTGGTTTGGAATCAAGGTTTTCCAACTCTCCTAGGTGGAATTTCCGTGTCCACCAATCTAGTTAAAGCGCCAAATATTCGCTTTTCATCCCTCCAATTTCGTAAACAACACCCCCGCCACGAGAAGGCAGTGAGTAGGACTTCCCTGGCAGAGGCAACATACGCATGGTCACGTGAGAGCATTTCGAGAGGGAGGGCGGACTCTCCTCATTGTCGGCCGTACCAGGGCAGTTGGGGGCCACTAAGTTTATTGTCCAACAAGGAGAATTGAAGAATTTCAATGGTGTTTCATACTCTGAATTGGATAGTGTGATAGTGAATTTCTTATTATTCACCTTAAAAATATCATCAAAAAAAAATTCACCCAGAAGTTATCTAAATTTCAACGAACGAGTTACAAATTTGAATCATGGTCAATATGTATCGATTTTGGCAGTGATGCAGTATTGCTGAAGTCTTACATAAATCAAACCAAACAATGCCGAACAATTAGATTTTAGTTAGCCATATACAATGTTACACTTGTTACATATGAGGATCGATTCAATTTACCTTAACATATCTGCACAACGAAATAAAATAATCAAGACTAATCTCAGGTTAGTAAATATAGCAACAGTATGGTTAGTAGTAGAAAAGATAAGATATAGAATAATGAAAAAGAAAAACGTTATGCGAAGATTTTGGGACCCGAACTCAAAAAGGAAGACAAAGAATGAATGTACCTCCATTATTAGGGAACGATTCTGAGTCATATCACCTAAAGTCTCTAGACGATGCTTAATGTGAATGAATCTGTTTGTACTTAATAAATTACTCACACCGAAATTAATAACGGAAGAGTAATCAATGATTTATTCATCATGACATTGAGCATAGAATGTCCGTTTCAATCCTTTTTTTTAAATAAAAAAACGGAGCGACTAAACTCATTAATGAAATAGTTGAAAGCGTGAGTCAATTGAAGCTAGACCACCAACAAATATCTGGAAGCACTGGACGGCCGTTTCGTCTTATTATGGGACTCCTCAGCTGTGCGCATCCACGATTCCGCACTCGCGAGATTCGAATCCATGTGCTCACTAGTGAATAACTTTGAGAACTACATCCAGGAGTTCTAGTGAGAAGCAGTGACCAGTGGAGTTCAAAACCACGTCTGTTGTGAGATAGCAACTCACTGAAAACAATTGGTGATCGGTTGCTCAACTTCGTGGATCAGCTGAAGTTAGACATTAACACCGTTAGATGCCGACTCAATGGTCTATTGGTTAAGTGCTTGCACGCTAGACTGATAGGTCCTGCGTTTGGATCTTGGGAGGTGGGATCGTGGATGTGCACTGCTGAGAAGTCCCACAATAGGACGAAGCGACCTTCCAGTGCTTCCAAGTTTTCCACGGTGGTCTAGCTTCAATTGACTCACGCTTTCAACTATGAAAATACTAAATCTCCACAAAACCTCTTCTGATCATTAATGAAAGCCATAACATAAAGAATTCAAAGCAATAAACGAGTCGGCAAAATTGTAATCGTTTCTGAGTAATACAGAACAGCATCTTTAACCAATGATCGCCATGATCATGTGATAAACAACCAGGAAGAAGGTCTATATCAAACAGCACGATTAAGATCAACAACAGTTACATACGAAAACATTGTCAACTGATCATTATCACCCGTAAAAATAATTGGTCACATAAGTGAAGATTACTTGGCAACAAATATTAGAGAAGAAATACAGAAATCAAATTAATTAAAACACCTACTTAATTAATGGCAAACAAAAAATTGGAATTGATAAAGGAACTTGTAATTCAGTTGTACATCCACAGCATTTTCTGTCAACAATGTCTTCACGTCTTGAAAGTAACCGAAGCGGTGATACAAACCAATCAATAACATTAGAAACATCGGACCTCGTTGTTGTATCATTAAAAATTGAACCGACAATGTAAGTGAAATTGATAGATAAACAACTGGAATCATCAATTACATTAGGTTCAAATGGGATTAATTGTTTAACAAGTCCTATCCGAAATAATGCATCAAATATGCACAATGCACACCCAGAAGCAAGAGCAGAATTACGAAGATTGTGAGTATCCAAAAGTACATGAATAATATTCGGTGCAACATCCTGAATAACGAACAGAAATTGAAAATACAGATAGATTAGGTAACGACAAACAAAAACAATTACAAATGTATCCAAAAGCCGAAACTAGGCAGTAAAATGAAAACACCACAAGGAGAAAGACAAAAAAAACCATCGATAGAAAATGAAGCATCAAAAAATGAAAGAACAAACATCAGATCAACACCAAGTGTGATCACACCATTATGGGGTCACAACCATCAACTTCATACACATTCACAACAACCACCACCAACTACTCCACATCATCATAATCATCCACATCCACATCCTCCAACAAACACAACTACCACAACTCAACACATTCAACAAACAAAATCGCATACAATTATCACAAATTACAACACATCAACACCACAATCACACGTCAAACAACTAAACAAATGTTGCAATATCATGTGGAAATAATTCCAACACTATCATATCGCATCTCCATTTCGCACACAGTTAACACTGCACTCGTAGACGTATAACCGAATGCAGTTGACTCTGATGTGCACTCACAAACATCAACCAACATAAGCAATCTATACATCAATCAACCAATCAATCAATCAATCACAATAACTACACCTACCACAAATACACACGTGATAACTAATCACAATCAACACAAAAACACAAACATCCACCACTACTACATTCCACTACTCAATTACACGCAATCATGTACCCTGATTGGTTCACACACATGTCCACGATGCACAACATGTGTAGATCGATCAAGCCTCATCAATTTACCCCAACAAACATCAGATCAACACCAAGTGTGATCACTCCATAGTGGGGTCACAACCATCAACTTCATATACATTCACTACAACCAACAACAACTCCTCCACATCATCATCATCATCCACATCCACATCCTCCAACAAACACAACTACCACAACTCAACACATTCAACAAACAAAATCGCATACAATTATCACAAATTACAACACATCAACACCACAATCACACGTCAAACAACTAAACAAATGTTGCAATATCATGTGGAAATAATTCCAACACTATCATATCGCATCTCCATTTCGCACACAGTTAACACTGCACTCGTAGACGTATAACCGAATGCAGCTGACTCTGATGTGCACTCACAAACATCAACCAACATAAGCAATCTATCCATCCATCAATCAATCAATCACAATAACTACACCTACCACAAATACACACGTGATAACTAATCACAATCAACACAAAAACACAAACATCCACCACTACTACATTCCACTACTCAATTACACGCAATCATGTACCCTGATTGGTTCACACACATGTCCACGATGCACAACATGTGTAGATCGATCAAGCCTCATCAATTTACCCCAACAAACATCAGATCAACACCAAGTGTGATCACTCCATAGTGGGGTCACACCCATCAACTTCATACACATTCACTACAACCAACAACAACTACTCCACATCATCATAATCATCCACATCCACATCCTCCAACAAACACAACTACCACAACTCAACACATTCAACAAACAAAATCGCATACAATTATCACAAATTACAACACATCAACACCACAATCACACGTCAAACAACTAAACAAATGTTGCAATATCATGTGGAAATAATTCCAACACTATCATATCGCATCTCCATTTCGCACACAGTTAACACTGCACTCGTAGACGTATAACCGAATGCAGCTGACTCTGATGTGCACTCACAAACATCAACCAACATAAGCAGTCTATCCATCCATCAATCAATCAATCACAATAACTACACCTACCACAAATACACACGTGATAACTAATCACAATCAACACAAAAACACAAACATCCACCACTACTACATTCCACTACTCAATTACACGCAATCATGTACCCTGATTGGTTCACACACATGTCCACGATGCACAACATGTGTAGATCGATCAAGCCTCATCAATTTACCCCAACAAACATCAGATCAACACCAAGTGTGATCACTCCATCGTGGGGTCACAACCATCAACTTCATACACATTCACTACAACCAACAACAACTCCTCCACATCATCATCATCATCCACATCCACATCCTCCAACAAACACAACTACCACAACTCAACACATTCAACAAACAAAATCGCATACAATTATCACAAATTACAACACATCAACACCACAATCACACGTCAAACAACTAAACAAATGTTGCAATATCATGTGGAAATAATTCCAACACTATCATATCGCATCTCCATTTCGCACACAGTTAACACTGCACTCGTAGACGTATAACCGAATGCAGCTGACTCTGATGTGCACTCACAAACATCAACCAACATAAGCAATCTATCCATCAATCAATCAATCAATCACAATAACTACACCTACCACAAATACACACGTGATAACTAATCACAATCAACACAAAAACACAAACATCCACCACTACTACATTCCACTACTCAATTACACGCAATCATGTACCCTGATTGGTTCACACACATGTCCACGATGCACAACATGTGTAGATCGATCAAGCCTCATCAATTTACCCCAACAAACATCAGATCAACACCAAGTGTGATCACTCCATCGTGGGGTCACAACCATCAACTTCATACACATTCACTACAACCAACAACAACTCCTCCACATCATCATCATCATCCACATCCACATCCTCCAACAAACACAACTACCACAACTCAACACATTCAACAAACAAAATCGCATACAATTATCACAAATTACAACACATCAACACCACAATCACACGTCAAACAACTAAACAAATGTTGCAATATCATGTGGAAATAATTCCAACACTATCATATCGCATCTCCATTTCGCACACAGTTAACACTGCACTCGTAGACGTATAACCGAATGCAGCTGACTCTGATGTGCACTCACAAACATCAACCAACATAAGCAATCTATCCATCCATCAATCAATCAATCACAATAACTACACCTACCACAAATACACACGTGATAACTAATCACAATCAACACAAAAACACAAACATCCACCACTACTACATTCCACTACTCAATTACACGCAATCATGTACCCTGATTGGTTCACACACATGTCCACGATGCACAACATGTGTAGATCGATCAAGCCTCATCAATTTACCCCAACAAACATCAGATCAACACCAAGTGTGATCACTCCATCGTGGGGTCACACCCATCAACTTCATACACATTCACTACAACCAACAACAACTACTCCACATCATCATAATCATCCACATCCACATCCTCCAACAAACACAACTACCACAACTCAACACATTCAACAAACAAAATCGCATACAATTATCACAAATTACAACACATCAACACCACAATCACACGTCAAACAACTAAACAAATGTTGCAATATCATGTGGAAATAATTCCAACACTATCATATCGCATCTCCATTTCGCACACAGTTAACACTGCACTCGTAGACGTATAACCGAATGCAGCTGACTCTGATGTGCACTCACAAACATCAACCAACATAAGCAATCTATCCATCAATCAATCAATCAATCACAATAACTACACCTACCGCAAATACACACGTGATAACTAATCACAATCAACACAAAAACACAAACATCCACCACTACTACATTCCACTACTCAATTACACGCAATCATGTACCCTGATTGGTTCACACACATGTCCACGATGCACAACATGTGTAGATCGATCAAGCCTCATCAATTTACCCCAACAAACATCAGATCAACACCAAGTGTGATCACTCCATCGTGGGGTCACAACCATCAACTTCATACACATTCACTACAACCAACAACAACTCCTCCACATCATCATCATCATCCACATCCACATCCTCCAACAAACACAACTCAACACATTCAACAAACAAAATCGCATACAATTATCACAAATTACAACACATCAACACCACAATCACACGTCAAACAACTAAACAAATGTTGCAATATCATGTGGAAATAATTCCAACACTATCATATCGCATCTCCATTTCGCACACAGTTAACACTGCACTCGTAGACGTATAACCGAATGCAGCTGACTCTGATGTGCACTCACAAACATCAACCAACATAAGCAATCTATCCATCAATTAACCAATCAATCAATCAATCAATCAATCACAATAACTACACCTACCACAAATACACGCGTGATAACTAATCACAATCAACACAAAAACACAAACATCCACCACTACTACATTCCACTACTCAATTACACGCAATCATGTACCCTGATTGGTTCACACACATGTCCACGATGCACAACATGTGTAGATCGATCAAGCCTCATCAATTTACCCCAACAAACATCAGATCAACACCAAGTGTGATCACTCCATCGTGGGGTCACAACCATCAACTTCATACACATTCACTACAACCAACAACAACTACTCCACATCATCATCATCATCCACATCCACATCCTCCAACAAACACAACTACCACAACTCAACACATTCAACAAACAAAATCGCATACAATTATCACAAATTACAACACATCAACACCACAATCACACGTCAAACAACTAAACAAATGTTGCAATATCATGTGGAAATAATTCCAACACTATCATATCGCATCTCCATTTCGCACACAGTTAACACTGCACTCGTAGACGTATAACCGAATGCAGCTGACTCTGATGTGCACTCACAAACATCAACCAACATAAGCAATCTATACATCAATCAATCAATCAATCACAATAACTACACCTACCGCAAATACACACGTGATAACTAATCACAATCAACACAAAAACACAAACATCCACCACTACTACATTCCACTACTCAATTACACGCAATCATGTACCCTGATTGGTTCACACACATGTCCACGATGCACAACATGTGTAGATCGATCAAGCCTCATCAATTTACCCCAACAAACATCAGATCAACACCAAGTGTGATCACTCCATCGTGGGGTCACAACCATCAACTTCATACACATTCACTACAACCAACAACAACTCCTCCACATC